CTCATTCAAAAGCCATCACGTATGGGTGAGTTGAACAAAGATTGTGTTCACTACTTGTGTCGTAAACTGACTAATGGCTTCACGCTTGACTGCTCGGCTGATTTCATTTAATTGGGTACAAATGGAATCGAAACATACGGGATTTCTCGACACGATGTGACGGAATTCAGGCTTGAGAGGCCTTCACTCCACCGGTGCAAATTAAGAAAGTGGTGACATCTTGATCGGGTAGGGTGGGGGTTTTCCCTTCGTTCTATACTACACTGCGTTGCGATATAACGTATGTACACTATGTACACGTTGGCACATTTAAGGGTACACATCAAGAAATGGTAAAGATGTCATGACGGGATAGTTACACTATAGTGCTACACCGTTCGTTTTTACACAATTACAAATCATGTACTGATACAAATCAAGAAATTGTAAAGATATCTTGACGGGGTGGGAGTCTTCATTATGTGCTTTTTTATAATGCTATACCATTCATTTGCATGTCAGAGGTTCTTCCAGGCATCTCTTCAGGGGTGTGTGTGTGGGGGGGGGGGATGCTCTATATAGAAAACATATACTTTTACCAGTGTCCGCCCTCACCCCCTGGAAAATGTCCACCCCCTCGAAAATATCAAGTGCCCCCCCCCCCCCCCCCCCCCCCCCCCGAGACAAGAGTCTAGAAGAAACACTGGCACGTTGGTACACATTTACTGGTACAAATCAAGAAATGGTAAAGATATCTTGACGGGGTGGGTGTCTTCGGTCTGTGTTACACTGTAGTGCTACACCGTTCGTTTTTATACAATTACAAATTATTTACTGATACAAATCAAAAAAGCGGTAAATATATCTCTACGTGATGGGAGTCTTCATTCTCTGCTACACTACAGTGCTATACCACTTATGTATATACGGGTATAAATCGTGAAAAATTATAATGATATCTCGGTGGTGGGAGATTGGGTTCTGTGTTGCAGTGTAGGTCCATTCCACGTACGTATCAGAGGAAGTAGAGTATATCTGTTTCAATGACCTCGGCATACAAGGGAAAAGTGTGGTCAGCACTATGCCCAGCCGCCTTTGTTTCCCTAACTTGAGTCAGGTACCCATCAGAGCTGGGTGGACTCATGAATGTCTGTAAGACTCTAGTGTGGGATCCAACTCAAGACTTCCGTGTTAGATCTCATAAGCATACCAACGTGTGTGAACGTATTGTATTAAGACTATGGGGTACACGTCATTAGTGACGGCGGTGGAGTGCGCGCCTGCTAACTCGAAAGTCACGAGTTCGAAACCCGGGTTCGACCGTAGGTCATTCCCTGGCCGAACTAGCCCTCATGTCTAAGCAAGCTGATGTGATGCACTGGAGAATGAATTTTAAAAAGTCTGGTGGAAATCACGTGTCTAGCGTCTGGCATTGTGGGTTCCAATCTGACTGGTTAATGAACAAAAAGCTTGAGCCGGTAATGAACATATACAGAGAGAGAGAGAGAGAGAGAGAGAGAGAGAGAGAGAGAGAGAGAGAGAGAGAGTGGGAGGGAGGGAGGGAGGGAGAGAGGAGAGGAGAAAGATGGGAGAGAGAGGAGAGAGGGAGAGAGAGCTCTTGTCACTCCCTATGATCCCTAGCCTAGGTTCCCACACTGAAGCACAGTGTCAGAAACATCTCTTCAAGTAACAATACATTTAATGAATGGTTGCCACGAAACAAAAAGAAGCCGATTTGAAGTTCTATTTCATTTGTGCTTGAAGCTACATTCACACAATCATCCCTTGCACTTGTACATTTCCTCACATTTTTTACTATTATTTTAAATACGTTGTTAGAAGGTCGGCCTTAAATGTCATCACACAGCTGGGGGATGGGGTGAGCTCAGGGTTTATGATGATAGTGACCAGCGGCGTGATAAAGGAGGGGTGGGGGTGTGGTCCATATAGGGTTACATCAAGCCGAAAAATCGTGAAATGTAGTGCCAGAACAATGTTTTATCTAATTAAGATAACAAAATATTAGGGGGAGATGGGTGACACCAAACTAAAAAAACAAAAAATTTGGAGGGGGAGGGGGTATGACAACCTCAGTTACCGCATCGGGTGACACGTGACATAGTGACGCCACTGGAGATGACAGTTTATGATGATGGTGAGACGTAGGATTTTTTTTTAAAGGACAAAATCGATTATAACATGCTTACTTTAGTTAAAAGTATAGTTACTGTGTGGGGGAGGGGGATTAGAAACTTTGTGGCAATTTGTGACGACGGTGCTAACGGAAATCGTCCAAGGGGGCACTTTGCCATTTATGGACGCCCTATTATATCTAATGTAAATAGTGCAAAAGCAGTATAGATTAGAAAGATTAGGGAGCATTGTTTTGACCAGGGGCGTAGCGAAGTGGGGGGTGCGGATCGCACCGGGTGACACCATTTAGGGGGGTGACACCAAGGCAAAAAATAGCAAAATATACAGAGAAAAACTCGAGGGGGGGTGCAAATCGAGAGTTTGAGGGTGGGGGTGCGAATCGAAAGTTTGAGGGGGGGTGCAAATCGAGAGTTTGAGGGGGGGGGGGGGTGCAAATCGAGAGTTTGAGGGGGGGGGGGGTGCAAATCGAGAGTTTGAGGGGGGGGGTGCAAATCGAGAGTTTGAGGGGGGGGGGTGCAAATCGAGAGTTTGAGGGGGGGGGGGGGGGTGCAAATCGAGAGTTTGAGGGGGGGGGGTGCAAATCGAGAGTTTGAGGGGGGGGTGCAAATCGAGAGTTTGAGGGGGGGTGCAAATCGAGAGTTTGAGGGGGGGGGGGTGCAAATCGAGAGTTTGAGGGGGGGTGCAAATCGAAAATTTGAAAGTTTGTCCCTGGGAAGGGTCTCTATGCCTCTGGGGGGTGACACCATTAAGTGCCGCACCGGGTGACACCCGACCTCACTACGCCACTGGTTTTGACCCAAAGCACGCTACTAGTATATAACGCGGGGAAAGCATATAAATGTTTGCATGAAGTATTTGTTGTGAGATGTAAACTCGCTACAAGGATGTACGAATCCCTCTCGTGATCTCACCCCTAAACAGACGCAAGGATCGACTAACTCGGGTTCATTAGAGAGGACAGTGCGTCTAACTAAGGCCGCAGACGACAGGACAAAACAATCAATGTAACCTTCCACGTCTATTAAACGTCATGAATGTGTTTAAAATATTGGAGATAAACAATCATAATCAATAAACAACCATATAAAAAATAGTGAGTGATATTCGTTACATTAGAGTAAGACGTGGGTCATACTTTTAAAAGCTAGGTCAAGACTGAAGAAGACCAACGTCAAAGACAGGAAGTTTGGGTATGAGACGTGTTTCCGGTTTATTCTATTTTCATTATTCTGATTCAAAGACAAACAGATGTACATATCGAACGTGAATATGAACGTGAATAAAAAAAAAAAGGCTAACTTTACTCTACACAAGTCATCACTGGATACTATACACGTCATTACCTGGCACTACGCACGTCATCACCTGACCCAACACACGTCATCCTCTGGCACTACGCACGTCATTACATGACGCAACACACGTCATCACCTGACATTACACACGTCATCACCTGACACAACACACGTCATCACCTGACCCAACACACGTCATCGCCTAGCACTACATACGTCATTACATGACACTACACACGTCATCACCTGACACTACACACGTCATCACCTGACACTACACATGTCATCACCTGACACTACACACGTCATCACCTGACACTACACACGTCATCACAAGATGCAACACACGTCATCACAAGATGCAACACACGTCATCATCTGACTTTCTTCTGGGGGCTCTGCACCCCCCCCCCCCCCCCGGAAGAGATGCCTGGAAGAAACTATGGCCATACCACACAATTGTCCATTACAAAGCAGACCTATACAAAAGGAACCCTAAACTGACATCTAACCTAACTGTACCACAGTAAGTTACTAACAAGAGACCCACTAGCAATGAATACTAGTTTTACTACCTATAAAACAATTAACTGACACAAGGCTGAAGCATAAAACTAAGCTAGCAGTAAACCCACAATGAAATTTATGTGAGCAGCCTGCTTATCAATTTAAAATACTGCATCAATATACAGATCTAGAACTTAGTTTTACAAAGGAGCATTAATTAAAATGCAGAAGTGACATTTTCACTCTCCCCCCCCCCCCCCCCCCCACCATTAGTAAAATTACATCATCCAAGATTAAAACACAAATTTCTGCTAGTGATCTGAGGGGGGAGGGGAGTTTGGATGATAGTGTTATCCTTCTGGTAGCAGTATAGATAGAGTGAGTGTGAATGATAGAAGGGGGTGGGGGTGGGAGGATGTAACTACTGGTTGCAATATTTGTATTGTGGGGATGAAGAATGGATTCTTAGGTGTTGAGGAAAACATCAAATCAAGGTATAGGACACTTTTAACTTCACACATGAGACCATACCAAGAGAAAAATGAAAATTATTCTTATAAAGCTGCTGGCTTGACAAAGAGAACCATATTAAGTTGTTTTGGTATATTTTTTTTACCAGTATTTCTGGTTGAATAACAGAGCTTGTGACTGTTAACGTGTAACTATTAAGTTCAGGCTTGAGTCTGTAGAATGTTGCTGAGTACACCCAGCTCTGATGAGTAGCTGAATCACTTTAGGGAAACATAATGCTGACAACACTATCCCCCATAGGCCTCTAAATACTAAGGTAATAGGGCTGGTAAGTAGGTCAACAATCAGTTCTATGGCTCATGCAGGTTTTATTGAGCGGTAGAACTGGTTGGTGGCCTACTTACCAGCCCTATTGAAACATGTAAACTTTACTCTATCTGAACAGGCAAAGATAATGATGATGATTCTACTGTAAGAGTTATGGGACTGAGCTTAGTTCAGCATGGCGGATAAAGTTAAAAAAATAAAGACGAGTTAGTCCTGCTAATGTTTTACAAGAGGCAGAGAAAACTAATAAAACAAAGTGGAACTTACATCGGATGATCATGTACGTATCATTATGCTTGGGAGCATCAGAAGGAACTGGCTGGCAGCTGTCAATATCCTTACAATGAATGTGGAAACACTTGGATAACGTGAAAAATGCAACATCACAATTGTCTATGTTACAACATAGTCCGAGGCAATTTTCCCAGCCATTGGCGTCAACCTCTACCTACATGCAAGTCAAAGATACAGGGTAAAATATTAACAGCACATCAAAACAAATATAAATTTTAAGATGTGATTAGTTTTGAACATGGAACAATAGAATAGGGAGTATGGTGGACATTGACAAGGTTTATTCTACTTTTAAATTTTAGTTTGTATCCACATTTGATGATCTTTTTACCAGTGTCAGCTAAAACAAAAGTAGCAGGGATTGACTTTAGGTCAGCAATTTATAAACTGAAGCAAGATGTTAGTAGACAGTGTAAATGTGTAAAAACCACAGTCTTTATTTTTTAAAAACTGCAGTGTGCAAGTTTTAGACTAACGATGAGTCTCAAATAAAAACAAATTGGGATTAGGTGTATACATTGTTATTCAGAAACTGTACCTTTGAGTGTGTATATATTTATGAGCTATTAATGCAACACTAATCATAGGCCAGAGATAGACAGCAGCCTAGCATCTTACAGCCCCCCCCCCTGCCCCCCACTAATTATCCGCCATCTAGGCATTCAATAAAATGGGCTCAAGGAATATATAAAGGGTTTAGCGTCAAATCTATACAAGCCACCAGGTAGTGTGTCATTCCCTCCTTCTGTCATCGGTTTAGTCACTTTGTCTTCGCAAGTGCGGTGGTGTGAGTCATGCATGGGGAGGGCTCTCCCAGGGACAGACACCCAAGAAAACATGTTGTTCTGTGGCGGTCTACATTACATCATGGGTTGGGGGAAAAGGGAAATCAGGGTGGACGTCTGTGAAGGCGTTGTGCTGTTATTATTACCCTAGTATAAGCTAGTAAAAATGTAATGACCTACTGCAGTTTTTTGGGCAGAGAATTATTGGCAGGGGGGCAATGTCCTGCCCACACTAGATAGATTAGGAAAAAAAACACTACACAACCAGATGAAAAGATTTTGTTAAAAATGTTATGAAATACAATACCTTAGTAAAATTTCCAGAATCTGCTCCAAGTTTTGGGAGGTGAGATTTAAATATATGTTTACTAATTTCCTGTAAAGATTTAGGTGAATCCAAAGGAATTTTATCTGCATTTATAATTTCACAAATATCTGCTGGAACATCTGCTGGAACATCATCTGAAATATTATAAAGATGCAAAGAATTATAGAGAAAAAGTGCAGTAACTAAATGATCTAAAAGGAGCAACCATACATAAGTGTTGTGTGAAGAAAAAAAAGTTTAAGAAGTAAAAATCTAACTTTGATTGGGCCTCCTTTATAATTTATTATCTATATCAAAAACAAAATATTAAAATTTAAGTTAAAATTGATCTAAACGCAGTACTTTAGAAGTGCTAAGGAAATGGTTTTGAACCCAGTACTTTTTAGGGTTGAGAGCACTACTAAAATGTACACTCACTTATATCTAAAAATCTTAGCTTATCCTGAGCTCTCTCGTGTTTGAGATACACAGAAAATTAACCGCAGTTCAGAAAATGCATTTATCATAACTCATAAACTCAATATGTAAGACCATTTTGAGTAAACATTAGAGTACCACTAGTGGAAAATATCAAGATATATGTAAAATAAATGTATTTTATAGTTGAGCACTAACCTGCTGAGCTACAAGAAAAGATCAGCATAAAGGCAATTGAGCTCTTTATTATTAGATTATTCATCATCAGCATTTCAGCCAATCAAGTCAAATCACCTGAGGGGGGAAAAAATTAATTAGGCCTAAAACTTGAAAATTACATTAGATTAACAGCACAATGAGTGTGCATTAAAATAATTAAATGTACACTCACCAGGTTTTGTAAAAAAAAAAAAAAAAACATATTTTTTTTTCAATTTTTTAAAATGTTTTATTTAACATAGGAACTAGCCCTATAGGCCTATTTATATTTATTTGTTGTTTTTTTTTTTTGCTTTAGCAGCATTTTAAATTTAATTTGATAGGCCACTGTGTAGGCTACAGTATAAATGTGATTTTAATGACTACAAAAAAAGTTCTCTAAAAAAATCAGTGATCTCATTAATAAAGTAAAAATTATTGAATCCAATTTTAATGTAACCTAAGGCATTCTTATGCAAGGCATTAAAATTAGAAAATGTATGCATAGGCCTATTTTAAACTGTAAATAAGATGTTTTAGCTGCTAGATTAGGTGTTCATTAGTGTACAACTTTGTCTTGACACCAGCACTTTATTTAAAGTTTATTACAAACGTAGGCCCTAAAGGAAGTTGAAGTAGTCTGTAGATTTTAGATCCAATTAATTAAACTAGTTAGGCCTATTGCCTATTATCAATCTAGAAAGTAGAATTTAGACAATTTAGAATTTTTAGATTTTGATCATTTAACTTTAACTTTTACTCATTTTACTCATTTAAGACATTTATCATTTTATGTCATTTAAAATTAGTAGGCTAATTTTAGAGTAGCAAAATAGTTAGGCTTCCTTAGGCCTAAATTTTATTTAGACCTTTAGGCTATTAGCTTATGGCCTATTATTAGGCCTATTTTACTAACTTTAGGCCCTAAACTAATTAAAATTTGTGTTTTAAGAGCTGAACTGGAACTAGATCTAGCTGCTGAACACTCCAAGCTCAGCTGATTGAAATTCAGAAAAAGATAGTCTGACGGCCTAACACATTATTTTATCACTAAACTAGATCTATTCTAGATCTAAATAAATAAAAAGTTACGAAATAATATTTCTAATACAATAATTAAAGAAGCAATTACAGCCAATTTATGAGCCCACCTTGCTGTTTTGGTTTACGATCCTGTTGCAGGGTAAAATTCTTCCATGTTTAATGTTTACTAATGCAAAGTTGTCTGGTCATACTAATTGCTGAAACATTTAGTATTATAAAAAAGAAGAAAAAAATAATATTATAATATTTTCCCTTTATTTATTTCGCTACCCAAAGGCACAATTAAGATCTAAGTATTACAAAGTCGTAATAAAATATTGCTACGCAATAAAGCGAACAATACTGAAACAACAGAAGAAATGACAATAAGAAAAAAAAGCAATAATTTAGTTACCGATTCCAAGACAAGTGTTGCAATCATCACGATATAATTAGGACCTAAACGACGATAAATGAAGTCAAGATATTTTTTTACCTCCCATCTGATAACATTTTTCCTTTTTTAAAAAAAAGTTACCCTTTCGGACCTGGTACATTAAGTAATAAGTATCAGTAGTGTCAGCTGGCGGGTGCTGGTAGTGCGGTCCGCATCAGGTGACACCATTTAGGGCTGGACACCACGAAGAAAATCGTAAAATGTTTGTTTACAATTTCATGTCGTGTAAAAATAATACATAAAAAATAGGGTAGAGGAATGTTACAAAAAAAAAAATGCAAAAGTAGTTGGGGTAGGAGGGGGGTGGTTGAACCGTCGTATACCGCTCCAAGTGACAAAAACTGCGTAACATAATTTACGGACGATTCAAAGGCTAACGAAGAATATTTTTAAATTAGTAATTAGATTTTAAATAAAATATGCTTGTATCATGCCATTTGTTTAACTAACAAAACATTTTATTTAACCTAATTCAGCTTCAGCTAAAATTGAAAGTATTGCTCGGCAAAATTTGGTACTACTCTGTAATTAATGTGACCCAAATCACATTTTTATTATGACAACGTACTTCTAGCAAATAAAAGTTTATCTGGATGTTTATTCTTTAGAAACAAATAATATAATTATTGAGAACTTCCCCCTAACTTCCCGTTGTAAAAAAAAAACATTTAGAAAGTAAATAAATCAGCAATAGACCTAAACGAAACAACCCAACAAAACATGCATACACTAGGATTCGAGATTTCTAGATGAGGTGCTCAACTTATTTGCATGTGGAGTCTAGAGCCTATAAGTACTATAGCTTATACTATACTATGGACCATAGTCACATACTGTACAAAGCACAAACATCCTCCACAATGCGCGTCTATCTACCCGTCTTTCTAGACTGCGGTGCCAATTTAAGTTAATGTTAAAACTAAAACATGCAAGTCTATAATAGACCAAGGATACACACACTACACACACACACACACACACACACACATATATATATATATATATATATATATATATATATATATATATATATATATATATATATATATATATATATATATATGTGTGTGTGTGTGTGTGTGTGTATTCTTCTGAATCCGGTGGTGATGTGATAGGAACACAAGGTTTTAGACAAAATGGGTTTTTTCTTTCAACGAATCCAATGAAGTCCGTAGGGTACATTTCCTACTGGAAGAAAGTGGAGCGGGGATGGGGGGGGGGGGGGCATCTGAATGCTGCCCTTAATGTTAACTATTATCTTTCGAATGCCGTGGTGTTGTTAAGTTGTAGGCTATTTATATGAGCTTTTTAGGGGATCTCTCGATCTACACTGCCAAGGGGTCGTCCATAAATGACGTCACACTCGTAGGGGGAGGGGTCCGTAATTTTGTGACGGTGTGTAATGAGGGGGGTGGGGGAAGGGGTTCAGATGGTGCGACGTCACACTTTTGCATTATAAAAAAGCAATGTTAGAAAACTAATTTTAGACGTTATTTCGCGTTTTAGACAACTGTTTAAATAAATTATAATAGGAATTGATTAAAATACTCTATTTTGACAGAGTTCAGACAAGATTTTAGAAAAATATCGATGTTTTAAAAAAAAATTCAAATGCAATTTTGAGGGGGGTTGTAGGCTGAGGTGTGACGTCATTTTAGAGGGGGGGGGGGTCTGGCTTTTTGTGACGACGTGTGACGGAGGGGGGGGGGGGAGTTAAAATCGTCAAAAAAAGCGTGACGTCATTTATGGATGACCCCTAGGGCTATTTCCTCCTCCTCATATACCCTCTCAAATAGTGGGTGTACTATTTCTATTGATGCCTCCAGTCGGACGACTAAAGATTTGAGAAATTTAACTCTCTAACCTACTAGATCTAAATCTAGATCTAGATCTAGATTTGTACAATAGTGAGAGGTAGCCTACATAGTACTAGCCAACCCTCCTTCCAAACCGCCACTGCTCTAATCACGCCAGCTAAAAGTATTCGATAACTTCATAACAATCTAGATCTAGGTAAAATGGCAGCCGAAAGACGAGCCAGAATGTATTTTGGTTTAGTCGTTTGTTTTTCTTTCAGAGAACTAACAGTTTGAACTTTACATTGTGCATCAAGTATAATGGTAATAAAAAGATATATTTTCGAAAAGAGTAAAAGGATTGGCTAAAATAAACTATTGATACGAATAATGACAATGTTTTGTTGAGCACCGTTACAGTCACAGTACACAATAACACAGTCAACAGCAGGGCACTGGGCAGGTTACACATTAGTATTACACATGAAAACTAGTTAGTAGTGTACTAGTGTGCACAGTACACAACACGGTAAAATCTTAGTTTAGCGTCGTAAATTCCAACGTAGCTAGTAATGTGCGATGAAGGTAACTAATGAATATTTCTTTCATTTGGCCATATTTATGTCATATTTTACATAATATAACAGATAATTGAATAACAAATCACAATCCAAGACCAAACCAGTCATAAATATCCTGGAATAAACTTTAAACTACCCCGTTCGAGACAACAATGAGTAAATACAAGCAGCGGCCATGTTTCAAAAACAATAATAGAGTAGTTTCCCTGGAATAATTGTCTATTCGCATGTCTTTTGTGTTGATTTTGTGGTTTAATATGATTGTTTTGTATTGTTTTAATATATGCCCGGGGGTCGTCCATAAATGACGTCACACTCGTAGGGGGGAGGGGGGGTCGTAATTTTGTGACGGTGTGTGATGAGGGGGGGGGGGGGGGGTTCAGATGGTGCGACGTCACACTTTTGCATTATAAAAAAGCAATGTTAGAAAACGAATTTTAGACGTTATTTTGCGTTTTGGAAAACTGTTTTAATACATTGTAATAACAATTGATTAAAATACTCTATTTTGACAGAGTTCAGACAAGATTTTGGAAAATATAGCTGTTTAAAAAAAATTCAAAATTTGAAGGGGGGTTGTAGGCTGAGGTGTGACGTCATTTTAGGGGGGGGTCTGGCTTTTTGTGATATGTGACGGAGGGGAGGGGGGGGGGGGTAAAATCGTCAAAAAAAAGCGTGACGTCATTTATGGATGACCCCCTGTATAGTAATTTTTCTTTTTTTTTCAATATAGTTGACATGAATGACTAATAGACCTTTTCAGACTTAATAGTGTGCATCCAAGACCACAACAATTGTTGGGAGGTCGAACTTTTGAACACTTTATTTGCAGTAAGCAAATTAATATTAGATTGCTCATAAATGACGTCGCTCTTAAGATAGTAATGACAGCGTGCATTATTACAGAAAAAACATATGAACATATTGTTTCAGATAGAAATTGTGATTTGTGGTGGGGAGAGGTTGAGTAGAACTCAGCGATGTGATTTTGGAGACGGGTCAGGGTTTTTTTTTCGTGAAAACGGGATGTTTGTGGGATAAAGACCAGCTGTAGAAGTATGACACGTCATTCATTGGTGATCCATTTTCTCAGTGGGGACGATAGAACTATTAAGAAGGGTCAAGAAATGTAAAAAGCTTGCTGAGTCGCATTTCTTGAACCCCACCTTTTTCATTCCCCCACTTAGCACATCCTCACCGAGTTGACGCTCGCACGTGACGTCATTAGGGCTAGAATTTAAATTCAGTTTCTGGATCTAGATAGCATTATTTTTTATAAAAAATGCGACAGTGTGTCGTCACACTCTCGCCGACCGTTAGGCTAATTTTATTTAAAAAAAAACAACCAACACTGCCTTTTTGACGCTTACTCGACGTTTAATTTGATTACTTATGTTGGTGTTCAATTAAACAGCCCCTCACACATCTATCACTCGTCCATTTAAACATACGTGGTTATTTCTGCAAGCTTGCGGTCTTGAGACTTTCGGCCCTTAAAAAATGTATTAAGCTCTCACCGTATAGAACTAGACTACCCATATTAAGCTCCAAAAGAAGCTTGGTGAAAACAGGATGGCCGTCCGATTTTGAAGCTGCTCTGCGCTTTATAAAAAGCACAATAAACGATAAGATGACACTTATATTAAAGTACATTGTAGTTCTGAATCTTGATACATTAAAAGTGATATTCGGAAATTAAGAGCCAGACAGTCAACATGATATTTCAATTTGAGTCCAAGAAAATAAATTTCCTCAAACGATGGAAGATTACTAAATTTTCGCGCAGTTTAGCGAAATTGAATTAAGTATTTACGTCATCTTACAAAGCGCGATAGCCTAGTGGTGCTCTAACGCGGCCCATGCTAATGGCCGTATTCCTAACGCCCGCATTAGACACGGCTTATTCGTCGGCAGGCATTTGGTGGCAAGCCTTTTTGACGGGGATAATATGTTGAGGCCGTTTTGCCAAATGTCTTAAACTAGCAGGCTTGCAACACTTGTGATGATTCGTTTTAAGCAAGGTATACGTATACTAATGCTTATTTATCGTTATTTTGATTGAACAAAGCATTATAGAGGTTCTCCATCAACCACCTAGGTATTTTTCCCCGTTCACCTCCTTTCATGAGACCGACAAGTCATAAATTGCGGAGCCGCCTGAGTTGACGTCACAAATCTTCACTCACTCCCGTAGCAAATCATATGTGACATCATTAATGGACAACCCCATATCACTCACTTGGGTACTTGATATTGACAATTTGACAAAAAAGGATACAGTGGCGTAGCCAGGATCGTCTCAAGGGGGGGGGGGGGGGGGTTCCAATTTTTACCCGGGGACAAACTTTTGATTTGCACCCCCCTCAAACTTTCTATTTGTACCCTCCCTCAGACTTTTGATTTGCACCCCCCCCCCCGTCAGACTTTTGATTTGCACCCCCCTTCAAACTTTCGATTTGCACCCCCCCCCTCTCATATATATACCGAGGGGCCTATGGGGGGGTGGGATATGATCCCCCCTAACCCCCCTACCTACGCCACTGAATGGATAACCAAAATGTGTCTGACAGGTGAAGACTTGAGATCGACCATAATGACAACACGCACTTAAGGGGTGGAATGGCTGATTGTTTTAGATGATGTTTTAGAGGGAAGCTGGTGGATAATACATTTTGTCTCTCTGTATATATGAATGATGACAAACATTTAATGTTGTCAAAATTATGGTTAGATATCTTAGATAAGGCAGAGTGAAGCGTAATTTTTTACATTATGACTTGTGACATTGACAACAAAAATATAACGGAGGTTTGGGTTTAATTAAGGTAAAGAGAAGTAAAAAAATTTCATAAGTTACGATAGAATCACTAATTGATGAAAAGAAAAACCTGAAATGAAAATAGTGAACATTCAAACAATAAGAAAAACTCAAACTATATACTATAATATAGATCTAGTAATAGTAAGATCAAATAAACATTAGTAAAAAAAAACAAACGTGATTTAATACATTGATACAAGTTGCATCTCACAATGCTTCTAGAATTAATAAAGTTGTTTGTTAGGAAATTCAGTTTTTAAAGAGCAGAATTTAAAAAAAAAATGCTTTGTAATACGGACTATTCAACAAGACAATCATATTTGAATACATTTTCATACAAATATAAATGAAAGGGAAGCTACTCTAAATAACATTTTCTTAAGATGGCTGCTGTTTTTAATAGCAAATTTACTATCTCGAACAGGGTTGATAAAAATTAATTTCAGGATATTTAAATTGATTTAACCATAAATGGTGATTTATCATTCAATTATTTATAATATTTTATCAAAATATACAAAAATAAACTCATATTTAATGACATATTCAATAATTCACTCTCTCCTACATTACTAGTTTTGGCCGAATTTACGACGCTAAACTAAGATTTTACCCACAACACTAGTATTATACTATTATTACTATACTATTACTAGATCTACTACACAATTGAATTACACAGCAGTACACGTGCAGTTACACACAGAATGAATAAGCCATAAGGACACTAGTAACTATATTTATTAAATAATTTAACTAACCTTAGAAAATTAGATTAATCATGATTAAACTAGATCTAGATGATTTCTAATTTACATTTTAAAAAAATTTAGGCCTACACTACATAATAATTACTAGCCAATACTACATACTAGAATAGATCTTCTGGGTGTAGGTAGTAGTAGTGGGTAGAGGTGCTGTTAAAAAAATACATAACTTTAACATGGTTATTTTTATATTTTAATACATTGAGATGATTCAAATTAAGTAAAAGAGATTAAAACAAGTTCATTGGCATTTATGATAAGAGAAAAGGGTGTCATTAATTCAAGTGATTAGGGGCCTAATGATAATGTAACTTAAATTAAACTAGATCTAGATTGTATAATTCTATTTTGACTTGGTTACCACATTTTATCAGTTCCCTATACCATTACTACACTTCATGGTGTCCAAACATGAAACAACATAAACACAGTTTAATTTAGAAAATAAAAAAATTCTTGCTTTACTTTATCTTTGGTGGTCACTTGATTATGCTCCCTGTTATCTGATTTGAGAAAAATGTACCATTTTTTGTTACACCTCTGTATTCATTTTAATGAGTTAGGGCCTACCTCTTTTTATTTATCATAAACAGAAAATCAAATATATTTGGTATAGGCATACATAGTAACACCACTTAAAATATGATAATGATCACATTAACAATGAGATTCAGTAATAATAGCAGCTGGTTTTCATAGAGCAAATATAATATAGAAAAGAAAAAAAAGAAGTCTTATTCAGAACTAAGCAGCGGTTATCATAGTCAAGTTGGTAAAGCTCATTGTTGCTAAACTGAAAAGTCCCAAGTTTAAACCCCGGACAGATGAGGCTTAATAGCTGGTGACAGCATCCCATCTAGGAAAGAGAATTCCAAAAAACTGCTGCCTTGTTGTTTGTTCTTGTATGGTCAAAGGCTATGGAAGGAAAATCCAAAAGAAAAGCAGGCTGAAATTTGAGTGCAGTGCCTATATGGCATGGCGCATAGCTAGTTTACACATAATACTTAATTGTATTGGAGGAAAGTCTGTCCAATATTATGTTCAGGAACAAAGAAGAAGAAGATAAAAAACAATGAAAAGTAGTTACCGTACTGTTTTTTTTCAGTTCAATAGGAAATGAAACTATGCTTTTTGATGGCTTAGTGTCACAAGCAGTGTACAGCTTATCCTAACTCTAGTGTTAAAAAAATTAGAACCCAATTTTTAGTCTAGGTATATTTGTGCTAGTTAGCTTTATAAAATAATTTTCTACTCCAAGTATTCATTGAAATTTATCTTTTTAGGATTTTAGTACTTCTCTAAAGGACCACCAAGAGGAAGACAAAGCTCTCAACACCACTTTAGAAAGTGAAAATGATGTAGACCCAGCAGAGCTTGGTACTGATGAGGAGATTGATTCTCTCTTCAGTAACAATGGGGTAGCTGATGAAAGCAAAGAAGGCATCAGTAATCAAAATGGGAGGAATAGTAATGTGAATGATCAGGTATGTTGAACTCTTGTAAATATAATGGTCTGAATGAAATTTTACCCGTTTGTTTTGACAGTTTGGCAATTAGTTTCTCTATAACATTTTAAAATTTGATCTTGATAGCATCTATTAAGATCTTAATATTTGCTAAATATTTGATAACATTGGTTCTTTTTTTTTTCACTTTAGCTAGAAGTTTTCCGCCAGCAATGGCAAAATGAACTTCAGAAAAGACCTGAAAGTGGAAGTCAAGGTCAGAGTCCCAGGAGCAGCCACAGTGAAATAAATGTAGCCAGCAACAAAACCAAACAAGCAACAGATCTGGAGAATGAGGTAGGTAGCAAAACAGAATTTTTTATTTCTTGTGTTTGACATTTTTCTGAATTAAATTTCTTTACTTAATGAATGTAAAAATGTGCAGTAAGGGGTCATACATTTATGACGTCCACAAATATTTTTGATTTTGGACCCCCCCGTCCACAAAAATCCACTTATTTCCCTTATACAAGTCCATACACATCAGCAAAAGTCCATTTTTTTCGGGACCCCCCCCCCCCAGTGTGGACGTCATAAATGGATGACCCCTAATATTCAGTAATAAACTAATATGAAACAAAGAATCCTTTAAAAAAAATTCAATGTTTTTCATTAGATCTTTTTTACACCTTTTTTTTTTGAAGCAATAAGTATGCAATATACAGCTCACTTTATCATGTGCTTACTTTATTATTTGTCTTTTAACAAATAAACCCTTTTCAAATAGGCTCGAGCTTATTTTATGCAAGGCATGCAAGCTGAAGATGATGGCATGCTAAATGAAGGTATTTAATATATGTTAAAAGTATTATATCTTTTCTTTCTTTTTAAATTAAAACTTCTGATTTAAAAAAATATTTTTCATTTCTGTTTTAGAATTTTAATTTTATGTTATTAGTAATTTAAATTATGTTTTAATATTAGAAATGGTGTGTTGAACTAATAATACCTTCCTTTTCAACAGCCATCTACTATTATAGAAAAGCTTTGCAGCTGGTGCCAGATATAGAGTCTAGATTAGGCTCAGTCTTCACTAAAGTTCCTAGGGACAGAGGTATGTCATCATCAACTCTTACTTAGCATGTATTTAGTAAATGTTATTTTAGCTGGTTGCTGAAAAAAATGAATGTAACTTCTGTTTTCAGTATTTTAAATACAAATTAATAATAAGCATTTTGTTTTAATTTTAGTGCGCATAGATAGTGAAAGTTCTGTTGAAGGGAGGTATGTAATTTAAATATCAATTTATTTTTAAAAGGAGGGCAAATCATTATACTTAAGTTGTTTTTCTGTAAAGTTAGTCATCTTTTTGTCACTAAGATAAATAACTATTTAAGTTTAAGACTGAATTATTAAAATTGTAACTTGATTGAAGAACTTTAATTTTAATAATATTAAAATTCATTTCTGCAAAATTTTCACCCTTGAACACTTAACAGTTATTGAATTATCATCAAACATACTTTTAAACTATACTATTTTGTGTATGTTTAGTGAGATTGAAGAAGACCTGCTTTCTCATTTTGAACAACTGAGACTAAAAGATGATGCATTGTGTCAGCCTGATTATGAGCAAAGGGTTAGTTGCACTTTGTAGAACTAACAATATGATTAACCAATATTATGGTGCTGTCATTGCTGTATTTGTAGCTTAGCAGTATTTTTTTTAAACCTGTATTTCAGTTTGAAAACCTTAAGTTAGTCAGACAGCTTACATTTCTATTTTTTATTCAGATTTTTTTTACTTGGTGTGTTTTTCCAGATGACCCACATTTCTTGTTTGCCTATTGAATTGATCAGCTATATCCTACAGTGGGTTGTGTCTAATGATTTGGATTTTAGATCTTTAGAGATGTTTTCAATGGTGAGTCTAATTATTTCAGCATGTATAATTACTTTCTATTAAAAAACAAATATGGTTTTATTTATTATGTAAAATTTTATATTCTTAAGTGTCTGATATGTTATTTGTTCAAATACAAATATTTTGTATCCCTATTTTTACATTGTGAATCTAGGTTTGCAGAGGTTTTTATGTGTGTGCAAGGGATGAAAGAGTGTGGAAAAAGGCTTGTGAGAAGTAAGTTTCTTATTTTGGTCTACTAGTAGACAAGTAGAATGTATATTTTAACTTTAATAACAATACACAACAAGCTTAATTTATTTTTTATCTGGACAAGTTATTGACAAAACCACTGCAAAAAAAAAACTTTCTGTAACTTGTCTCATAAAATTAGTATGCCTTTTATAAATGTGTGCCCCCCCCCCCCCTAAAATTTAATTATTAATTAAAAATTAAATGTAAATAAAAATCTTATGTAAGCAGTCTGCTCCTCTGACAATAAAAGCATGCACTTTAATTGATTTTTTTAGCTTTTAATTTATAAAACGTTAAAGACCGTTTATTTTAAATTTTCAGAGTTTGGGGAATAAATGTCGGGAGTTTAAAGAAATATGGTGGATCATGGAGAAGGATGTTGATTGAGAGGCCACATTTACTCTTTGATGGTAAGGCTCTCTTGCTGCTTTAAGGCTCCTCCAGTTAGAGTGTTTTAAGTTACACTTCATTTAAATATCTAATAAACAAAGTAGAAAATATATTTTTTTTTTCATTTTTCAAATTTTATTCACAATCATGTGAAGTTATTAAAAACAATTTGTGGGAAAGACAGTTTTAAAAAATTGCACTTAATTTTACTTTGTGCAGTGATGTTAAATAAAAAATGTGAATAAAATTTGTTAGATCAACATAAATGTTCCCATGTTTACAGTTTAAAACCTTCTATCCAGGATGCTACATCAGTAAAGTAACATATGTAAGACAAGGTGAGGAAAGCATGGATAGTTTCTACCGTCCATTTCATTTGGTTGAGTACTTCCGTTATGTCAGATTTTTCCCTGATGGTAAGTGCTTTTTATCATTTTCTGCAGCTTTTTAACTTGTATAAGATATGTTTACCAATTTTTTCTTTGATTTGTATTTTAAATTAATTCAGTTAGGTTTTAATTCTACTATAGTTCAAAATTTAATTTAGCATAAATAATAAAGGAATTTGTATAATTCATTTTTTAAACAGATTGCAAATTTTAAAAATTACAGGTCAGCTGTTGATGCTTGTGACACCTGAAGATCCGTTGCAATCGCTGCAAAAGTTGAGATACAAAAACTCTAAAACTCCTGGCATTCTGAAAGGAGTTTACAAGCTCACTGATCATAAGGTTGGTGTAATTCAGAAATAAGACATACAAATCACAGTCCTATGTGTCTTCAAATTCTCATTATGAATTTATCAAAATAATTTACATTTTAATTATTATCTTTTTTTCTGAAGAACAGTAGATAGTATTAACAAAATCACTAGGAGACCTGGACTCAATATAACTGACAAAGTGGAGTTTTTTTGCTGTTAAAGCCATAGCAATTGAAAGTGCAGACTTTTATTTGGCTTTTTTTAGTCGTACATGCTAGTGGTGTATCCATCATAGCTTCGTGGGTTAAAGAAACAGTATAAGGTAGGATTATTGTCATGCACTCCACTACCTCAACCGACCACCCCACAGTTTTAACCAAGTGTAATTTTTTCCTGCAGGTGGCTTGTATTCTAAAACGTGTCAAAACAGAATCAACAATGAACAACAGGTACAAGCGCCACAGACAAGCAGCCAATCAAAATGAAATAGAGATGACTTATACTGTGGTGAGTGTTCTTTGATATCAGTACAAGTTTTATTCTTTTGCAGATTTAATCACAATTTTTAAATTTCTATGTCAACTAATAATATACTGAGGGTTGTTAGCCTGAAAGTTTATTAAAAAAACTAATAGACATAGTTATTTATCCTAGGGTACAGGAAGAAGAGTTCATCTATTTCTTAAACCTTAGCATATTGAGGGATTGTGTTTTGAGAAATATTCCCTCATTAGCAGTGGGTGAACTCATGGACATAAGGAAACCAAAATTTAGACTTTTGAGTTAGCAACCAAAAAAAATTCTTTTAAAATAAGTTTATAAAATGTGTTGAATTTGGTATGTTTTGGCAGGAATTTGATGTTGTTTCTTGTGGCAGAAAGCCCAATGCCCAGCTTGTCTGGTGTAATTATGCAGTTACCTCAGTTCAGAAGTAAGTGACAATCTTTTGACTGATAGCTCCCCTTATAGTTTTACTCATTGTATTATTTGTCAATTAGTACCACTAAAATTAGCCTTTACATGTGGACTTTTTATTTAACAAAATGTAACTAAAAGCATTTGTATCAATTCAGACTGACCGGTGAAGAAAATATTAGCAACTTTGATCTGAATAAACGCTCATTCCCGCCCTTAATCTTCTCTCGTGTGAGGAGCTACACCGCAGCGTCTTCAGAGCCTTTGGTTTAACTGTGTTTTAGATTATTTCTGTTTGACCAGCTTGGCTGGTTTTCTGGTTGTTGTTTGTGTTTTACATCAAAATACTTTACATTGTTATATTTGGGCATGAGGTGTTTTTTTTTATTAGGTTTTAATTTTAGGTTTTGAAAGTTATGCAATTCTTTTTTAGTAGTTGAAGACAATTATTGAGTTTTCTCAGCAGCATTATTAATGAGTGTTTGCGGATTATCTTATTTTAGTCAGACTTGAATTGTGTATTATGTACAACTGTATTATTTTAGAAGTTTTAAGTTTATAGTTTAGTTTGTTGGTTTTTATCCTGGTTATTTGTATCTTGTGTGGTTTTGCAGGGTTTTGCCAAAGTTTACACCTGACTACCTGTACTAATTGAGCACAATAGCATTGCATAATACACAATATTATGCATACATTCATTTCTGGGTGTATATGTGTACAGCTAACAAGCTGTGGTGGGTGGGGGTGCATATTAAAAAAGATAAGCACATTTTTAAAGTGATGTTGTATATTAAGTTAGTATTAAGTATTATATTTGAAAATATAAAATGTAGTATCTCTAATGCACTGTAAAATTCAGTAAGATAAAATCATTCTAATAAGTGAAAAAAACAAAGTACCTTTAAGAAACAAAATTTGCCCTTAAGTATTTTATAGTAGGATTAACAAAAACAATTCAACCATAGTGAATTATCTTTTCATGAGAAAAAGCACTTGTTTGTCCTCTCCCCCCCCCCCCCCCCCCCATATATTGTCCAACCCTTAACACAAAATATATCATACCTGGTATAGAGGTTTACTCTTTCACCTAGTACTTTAACTTTAAATATCTTCAATTAGTTGAAAAGTATACATTCGAGTGAACAAGTACTAGTTGCTAAACAACTGAGCTCCTTCACTAGTTTTAAATTTTAGGAAAGATGTTTTCAATTGCAGATTGATATTAGAATTTCACATGTTTTGTAGAATATATGAATACTTTCCCATGTTTGAATAGAAACTCCATATTTAACTTAATTTAAGTAATGTTTGTTCTTGTGTAGTAGCAGAACAGATGTTATGAATATTAGATTCTAATAAAATGAGTTCTAGGGTTTAAGTTAAAAACAAACCACTTGGTAAACTATTTTGTACATATCAGAGGTAATGAAAAGATACACAGTGAAATTATTTTGTTATTCCACTTTTACATTAAGAGATTTATATTTTAACCAAACTATTTAAAAGCATTGCTGTTGTTACTATAAGCTGTTGAGCAGTTTGTTGTTACTTTTATTTTCTTTGATGCTTTATTATCCCTGTGGTTATTTGGATTTTCTTGAGTTTTGTTTTCCTGTATTTATATTGAAAAAGAATTACATATTTTGACTATTATCTCATTTTTTTTAATGAAAGTGAGCACCAAAATAATAATTAATTTTATCTAAGGTTTACATTAATTTTTTTCAGGACTTTCATTTCCCTTAGGTTAAATTAAGTTCAGTAAAAATGAGGACTATTTTTGTTTTTTGCATTTAGCAATGTACTGAAATACTCAGACACACTAGGTTTTTAAGTTGACTTTGAAATTAATTATTTTATGTACTTTAGTTGTTACCAAATACACAAAAAACTATACATTAAAATTGTATCTTAGCTTTATGTAAATTATGCTTTATTTAAAAACAATAATAGTAGTTATAATGTCTTTAGTTTTAGTGTTATCATATGTTTACCATTTAATAAAGTTAAAACATAGAAGCTTTCATTATATTATGCTTTGTTTTACCTTTTTAATTAGTATTTTATTTCCGAGTTTAAAACCATTTTATTTAAACCTAACCATGTGTGTTAAATTCTTTGACATGAGGCCTAGTTTGGTTCATGTGAAAGCCCTATGTGTGTTTAGCCTTGTTTCAAATTAAAAGCTTTCAATTGTACATATATCTATTGATTGTTTGAATATTTAACACATTCGAAGTTTTTCTTGAATAAATCAAATTAAAAGCAAGTTAGATGTGGTTCATATGTTCTACTGAGTGTGTGCTTCTTTAAAAGTGATGGTTTTTAAAAAAAAAAATAATGCTATCTGGGAGGCATTAGGCTAAAGCTACATTCACACACTTTAAGGTAACGCAAATACTAGACAAGTAAGACACAAAAATCAAAACAAATATTTATTGATTTCAAATTAAATACAAGCCAGGCTTGCTGAATAAGGGTATTACATAATTAACTTAAGGATGCAAACAACAGAACTAGCATTTGTACATATGTGGGTAATAACTATAATCTATACTGATAGCAAGTTATCATTGTTTTTCAATAGCAAGGTGGTTAAAGATATAAAGTATACATGACCTACAAGTTAAGGAAAGGTGTTTACTTTATAACTACTGCACTAGAAGAGCACTAAAGAGAAGTAATTGAAAAATGTAGTTCTACTAAAGTGTTTTTAAAAAGATAGGATTACATTTGAGGAAAATGAAAGTAACAAGGCACTTCTGAAACACTATCTTTACATGAGATTTTTAAAAAGTTTTCCTACTATAAATACAAATACTCTTTTTATTGTACAATTTTAAAATTGAGAGTATTTATTTGTTTTTATCCTTGACATTCAAATAATAACTCTGGGAAGGCTAAGTGATATCAGCACTGACATCTAATTTTGATAAATAAAACTGACAACACAAAGATCAAAAACTTGAATCAAATACACTTTAACACATCTGAGAAAATACAGTAATTCTTGCACAGAAAAATAATGTTATAAGTCATAATTAAAGATATTGAAAATATACGTTTTTTGTTGAAATATTACAAACATATAAAGTATGTGTAAGTGAATAATACTTTGGTATATAGGGACAAGCTGGTATGATGGGTAAAAAAATATATAAATATTTATATATATATATATTTAATTATAATACTAGAGTGTAAATTACAAACTTAAATAAAAAATACTTGACTTAAAATAAAATTTAAATCTCTTTGGCAGATTAAAAAAAAGTATATATAAATACCATCTTATTCTAAATGATTTAAATTTGAAAAAAAAAAAAGAATAATATCAGGCACCCTCCTGAAAATGTCTAAATGCTTGCAGAAACAGTTGAACACAGTTTGCTATATTGACAAACAACGACCTCATTTAAATGCTTCCAGTTATTTTAAAACTTGCACAAAGGCAGCAATTAACAAAATTATTACTATTTTAAATGGATAGCATAGCTGTAGTAAAACTTAATATTAATTTAATCTATTGACTCCATCTGTAATAAACCTTACTTTGTAATATAATTTTTAAATAACTAACTAGCCTGTATGTTTCTGCAGCCTGCTTTTCAAAAATGTGTCCTTTTTATGTAAAATTAGCAAGTGGAGAATATTTGAATATCACTAGGTATTGTGTGTTACTTATCAAATGTTTACAGTTCAAAGGTTTAATCAGTACAAAACCATCAACCATTTGATTTTTAAAAAAATGAGACAGTGAAGGATGTTAAAAAAAAACAATAATAGTCTTCAAGAATATCATTTGAAAACCTCGAAAACTTTACATATAATTAAATTGTACAAGTAAAAGGCATCTTAATATAGCCATGAATTAATCCAAATTTGATTAACATTTTTTTTAAAGATTGTGAATTCAATATTTGTATTTAATACATTGTTTCATATTATGTATAAAAGAAACAAAAACTTATTTATTACAAAAACTTAATAAAATGACTTTTAGTACTCAAAAAATTATTTTTTAAAAAGTGTTTAACAATTATTCTTTTTAACAAATGAAAATTTTAATGTTATTTAAATTTGCTTATTACACATTTTTTTCGGAGAATTTTTAAAGATCAATTTTTTTAGCAAAGAACTATTTTTGAACCACTAAATGAGCAGCATTTTACAAAGTTTACTATTTAGAAAAATAAATTTTGAATTAGCTTGGGAAAATAGTCTCCAACTAGTCAGTCATCAGAATCATGGTACACTTTAATTTTGCTGTTAAAAGAAATCTATATGTTAGGGATTTTAAAATTTTAGCAGTTGACTAAAATTAATCCTCAAATAGATAATAAGAAACCATTTGTGGAATTTCATCAAATTAAAATCTTTAAAAAAAATGTTTAAATAATATAATTGTACAAGTTGAAGTAAATGGGGTGGGGGAAGATGTAAATATTAATAGAAAAATGCTTGTGCAAAAAAAGAAAAAAAAACTAACACAATTAAACTTTCTTTTAAAATTTTCACTGGATGATTGAAGTTATTAAATCTACTTTGTTACAAGAAAGTAATTAGCATAGATACATTATATTGGAATGTTCTTAGCAAAGGATTCCGTGTAGAAAAAAAAATAATTTCAACAAGTAAAATACTGCATGTTATGTGGCCTTAAAATATTTTTCATTCAGCATATTTTTTGCCTTGACTCTCCATTGATCTCTTTTGATGAAGAGCTACACTGATTATTTCACAAACTGGTCCAAGATTATTCTGGTTGCAAATGTAACAGCAATACCAGCAACAACAGTTACAATGGTGTTGTATGTCATTGTAAAGCTAAATATCTATATAGGAATAGAAATAAAATTAGTTAAAACATGATATTACTTTTTAGGTAGTAATGAAAAATGCTTTTAAAATGATTTTAAAAATCTTTTTATTATTTTAGCATCTAAGATTTAAAAAATGAGTATTATTAAACAAACAGTGACTTTTTGTCAAAAGAAGAAATAATGGCAAAGGCAACTGGATAAAAACAAGAATCAACAAGAGGTAATTAAGATACATCTTGGCTTATTAATGAACTTACCTTCAGTTCTAGTTTGGTACTTTGGAAATAATACAAGACAGACATTCTTTCTTCAGTTGGCAGAACACACTGTAGAAATGAGTAAATAAAATAAACATGAAATAAAATAAATAAGTAAAAAAAACCTATATGATCAGATGAAGTAGAGTTAATTGATTTCAATGACCTCAGCATATGAAGGAATAGTAAGGTCAGCACTATGTCTAGCCGCCTTGGTTTCCCTAACATGATTCAGGTACTCATCAGAGCTGGGTAGACTCAGGGACATTTTACAAATATGTACCAGGGATTCGAACTCAAGACCGTCGGGTCAGCAATCGTAAGCTCTAACATGAATGGTATATAGACAGAGATAGCTATAATGATTATATTTAACTCAACTTCACTCTGCATGACTGAATATTACACTTAAATGAAAGATTTAAACCTACTTTATATTCACTAATGTAATTTAAAAATGCTAATAGACTACAAATTTTAAAAAAATGTTTTAAAAAGCTAATTAAAAAACAGCTTTAGTATCCTCAACTAAAGAAATATATAAAATAAAAAATATGAAAAACTAACATAATAAATGTGCACCAACCTTAAGTAACCTTTCACCCTCAAAGTTGACTTCAGCATAAGCTGAGGTCAAAAGGCCAAGTGCTACAAGGGGAGTAAGAAACTGAACAATCCCAGAAAGCTGTGCAGTGTGTGTAGTCCAGTACACGATAAGCAGAGAGCACCAAAGCATGATGAAAGTTATCCAACTTGAAATCCAGCGCTGGAGCAAACGTGATGTGGACGACAGTCTGCGCTAAATGGTTACAAATTTAAAACTTTTAAATTTACACTAGAAATACTGAAGAAGAAGCAAACTTTTAAAAAATGTTACTAAATAAAGTTAATTACTTAAAAAATACTAAACAATACAAGTAATGGAAGAAATTTTGTTGGTTCTTATCAAGGAATCATAAAAATGCATTTCAAAACCAACACTTTAAAATTTTACTTGTTAAAAATATAAAACATTTATTTAAAATTGTTTTAGATCTTGTTTTCATTTTATTTGCAAAAAAAAAAAAACACAAGCAAAATAGTTTATTCGTTATTTTTATTATCAAACAAAGCACAATAATGCTCAAATTTAATATACATTAAAACTTAAGTCAGATATACTGCATATAAATTTGTACGAGGGAGCAGTCTTAAGTTCTACCACGCATGGTATACAGAGATTAACTATAATCATTATATTTAATTCAAATTCAACAGGTATAAATCAAAGAATTTGTTTACTTATTTAAGTTTAGCTTTTTAATAAACTCACCAGCAATTGGAAGTATGTGAACATTAGATCCTCATTCTTCATGATAGGTGGTTGCACATCACTGAGAAAAGAGCGAGTAACCTGGGCAGGCACATGGGAAGGTTCCTGAGGCGTAGATGCCTGTGGAACTTTGCCATCCATAGCTCTGTCATGTGATGGCAGATTTTTGTATTGAGTGCTTTCTTGTATGGGAGTCCCCAGGATGGTTTTCTCCCCTTGTTCTGGACTCCCAACTGAGTCAAGATCAGAGGCTACACTCTGTGATGGGAAAATAAACTTTATCAAATAACAACCATTACATTATTTCTCTTTCTACTTCGGAAGTGTAAAATTAATAAATGTACAAAAATCATGATTTCTGTTGATTGTGTGACATTATTGTCTTCTAATGATTGAGATTGTGTAATTATTGTCTTCTATGATTGTATAATTATTGTCTTCTCATGATTGTGTTGAAACATTATTGTCTTCTTATGATTGTGACTAACATTATTGTCATCTTATGATTGTGACTAACATTACTGTCATCTTATGATTGTGACTAACATTATTGTCATCTTATGATTGTGACTAACATTACTGTCTTCTTACGATTGTGGCTACCATTATTGTCTTGTCATGATTGTGTGACTTACATTATTGTTTTCTAATGATTGTGTAATCATTGTCTTCTCATAATTGAATGACTTACATTACTGTCCTCTCATAATTGTGTAATTATTTTCTTATGATGATGATTGTGTGCTAACATTACTGTCTTCTCATGATTGTGTAATCATTGTCTTCTCATGATTGTGTAATCATTGTCTTCTCATGATTGTGTAATCATTGTCTTCTCATGATTGTGTAATCATTGTCTTCTCATGATTGTGTAATCATTGTCTTCTCATGATTGTGTAATTATGATGATTGTGTAACGTACATTATTGCCTTCTAACTATTGTGTAATCTTTGTCTTCTCAAGATTGTGCAATCATTGTCTTCTCATAATTGTGTAATTATGATGATTGTGTGACTTACATTATTGCCTTCTCATGATTGTGTAATTATTGCCTTCTCATGATTATGATTGTGTGACTTACATTATTGTCTTCTCCTAAGTGCCAGCCACGACTGGAGTTGGATCTCTCTCTGTTTGGTATGCTACAAGACATGTACAGACTCTCTGGCTGTTGGCTGCCTGTGTAAACAATACAATTTTTAAAATATTTTAAACATCAAATTTATTTTCATTTCTACATACGGGTTCATCCATTTATCACAGCATGGAAGAAATCAATAAAATTTCATCTGTGGATGCATGTGGATCCATCAACTAGACAAGCAAGCATAGCTTGTAAATATTTATGTTTATTTACACTAATAAAATTTAGTGTACTTATTTTAAGAGTTGTATTAAATCAAACACGAACCAAGCTCAGCTGATGTATTTGTCCTTCAAAAAATGGCAATATTTTATAATAGATCTTCTTTTTAACAATTTTTTGCAAAAATATTTAAGTGGAATATTCGGAATTTCGAGAGATTTTTTTAAAATTTCATGAGAATTCCAGGAGATTTTTACTATTTTTTTAATTTTATGAGTTTTCCAGGACCTCCCGAACCCTGTAAATTAATACCTAAAGTTAGAGTAATTTAGCTTTACCTGTTTCATTGGTAAGTTGAGTCAGCTGAGACCTCGTGTTTTGTCGCATGACTCGAAGTGTCCGTAACAAGTGTGCGTTACTTGGTGGCTCAGAATGACTGTCAGTGTCAAAGTTGGCTATGTCGTCATGCCAGATGTCAAACTCTGCAGTAAAAAAAATTTTTTTAGCATGTTATAAGTTTTATAATTACTTAAAATAGTTAATCATAGTAGGAAATTCTATTTTTATGCTAAACAATAAATTTAATTATCTTATTTTGGGATGCTTTTAAAGAATGAGCAATCCAAATTTTACAATGGAAATGTTTACTTAAGCCAGTGAATTTTTAGAAAACACATATTGATAGGTCTATAGGTTCTTAAGATGAACAAGGTAATAAATATTTGAACGCATAATAAACAAACTAATAACATTAAAAAAAAGATTAAATTAAAATGTTGATTATGAATATACATTAAGGGGAATAACTCTCACCATTCAAGTTATCAGCCACTGCACTATGATTTCTCTGATTAGCTGGTTGCTGCTGTTGTTCTTCCAGGGCCTGTATCATGCAAAATTCCTCAAAAATTTTTGTGTCGTACATTAGCTCTTTCATGAACCTGCGAATACCTAGTAATAAAAAATGTCACAATGAATACTATCATCAAAACATAAATATTGAACTTTCAAAATTTATTAAATTTCAAGTGTCTTTAACTAAGATGTTATTATTTATGTGCAGCAATTTCAGGCATAATTTTAAATTTTTAGCACAATTTCCATTCTGGAGAATTGCGTTTATTAACCCGTCATTTCTGGATGTATGAATGTATGAATGAATGGATGGATGGATGGATGTGTGTCCGCAGCTTTAAGTCGTATCTCCTCCTCAACGAAGCAATATCGATGACTAGTTCCAAAACCAATTATGTTAAGCAAGTAAGTTACGAGGATGAACATAGGCCATAAAAATTACGGGTTTCTTTCATGGATTTCCCGGAAAAGCCAAAAAACCTCGAAAAAAAAGCAGTTTTTGGCCCATATCTCGGCAACCAGACCACTTAGCGACTTGAAACATGTACCAATCGATTCCTGTCATAATTTAGAACAATATTGCCGAAGAAAGTTTTCAAAAATATCCTTTCCTTCGGTCACAAAAATTTTTTTTAGTATCTATTGGATACCTTTACTAATATTTGGGAAGAGACCCACGCTTTTCTTTATAGTTATTTAAATAGTAGTGTATAATTTATTTTCTACTTTTTAGTGCATTAGTACATAAAAGCTTGTTATTAAAACGTTTTTTATGAATTTTTTTTCCAGTACTTTACTTGTTTTATTTACAATAGAGTTACATGACAAAAACCATTGCGCGCCTATTGAACGTGATGGCGCAGCTATTGAACGTGATGGCGCAGCTATTGAACGTGATGGCGCAGCTATTGAACGTGATGGCGCAGCTATTGAACGTGATGGCGCAGCTATTGAACGTGATGGCGCAGCTATTGAACGTGATGACGCGTGTGGTGTGGTCGGATGGACATGCCTACTAATTCGGTCCAAATTTTAATTAATTCATAAAAAATTAATTAGGCATCCAATTAAGTCAAATTTAATTTCAGATTGCATTGTCTTCATGTCTTGACCCACGTGCCAACTGTGAATCGTATCGGTCAAGTAGAAGTGTCCAAATTTTCACACTGGCATTTCGATCTAGACTGATGACTTACGACAGACTGACGACTGACAAGGAAGTGAGTTAAATAAAAGCTTGTAAAAAAAAAACGAAATGCAGTGTCCATAGCAATATATTTAAAAAACATTGCTGAATTTCATTATGCCTAGTAAGAAAGTTTTAATTTCAAACCATAATGTTAAGTTATTTATCTGATCATAATGAAAAAAATAAAATTGTAAAGTTTAAAATTTTAAAATGCTTATTTTCTTAAATTTTTAATTGTTTTGTTATTAACTTCTGTCTTATATCTATAAGATAATTCTTACAATTTGAAAAAAGTTTAAAATTTTAAGTTTTTGTTTTGTAAAATAAATAATATCAAGACAGATATACTTTTAAAACTAGATTTTGAGAATTTTATAACTCAAACTTTAATTCTTTAAACAAATAATTTTTGAAAAATTGCTTACTTATAGTGTGAGTCCTGCATACAGAGAGATAAATACATGCAACCAAAAGGTTCCAGGTCAAGCACAAAATTGAATAGAAAACTTTGGACCCAAAGTAGATTTGGCACAGAATTACCTGGCACATTATGAACAACAGAAGGAAAATATTAATCAAACAGTTAGATGAAAACATTTAATTTTTAGATACTTTTTTATTTTTATAATCTACAAAATTTAAAAATAGAGATTTTAAAAGTAAATAGTTACATTTGTTTACCCATGATTATTAATTTATGTTTGCAACATCTCAAAAATCTCAACTATGTAGTAAAAGAAATAACCAAGGGAGACAACCTACAGCTATGTTACTAAATAATGATAAATTAAAACAAATGACTTATCAGGAAAAAGGTATAATTGATGAGAAAAGAAAACATATCCAACCTGAGAACCAATTGTGGCACAGTTACTGTCAACAACCCCAGTCTCATTGCCAGAAGCTTTGTTATCCAAGAGGTAGATATTGGTGTATAGATTGGTAGCAATAACAATCATAGACAGAATCACAATGATTAACACTGTGCTTATCTGAAAGTGTGGTAAAAAAAAAAAAAAGTCTAACCTCCAAACAGTAACTACTCTTACTTCCCCACCCAGATTTTGAAATCCAATAGCAGCTTTCATGACTAAATTAAGATTTTAGCAACATCAAATAATCAGTATCTAAATTCAAACTGCAATTAAATTCACATTAATGTTTTTAAGCAAGAATTAATTAATTTAATTAAATGTATTTATAAAAGAATCAAGAAACAATAATTATACTATGATTTTGTTAGCATTGTAAACATTCCCCAAACTCTGGCTAAACAATAATGTACTGTTTTTCTTTTTTATTCATAAGACAGAATCACACAAAAATCAAGCAAACCTTGAGAAAAGTTTTGGAGTGTAGACGAATACAATCCACCATCCTTTTATTACTAAACAATCGAGCTGCTAAAGAATTGGCGTAAATTCCAATGCCGATCCAATACAAGCCCAGGACAGATTTGGCAATACCAACAAGAACTGTGGTTTTAGAGAATTTGCCCAAACTGTCATAGATATTAAAGACAAAACCGCTTGCTCCGAAGGAAAATGCTGCGATCAGTGTGATGATATGAAGTGCAGTTGCTATACAAACTTGTTTTCTATATTTCAAATAAACAAAAAAATTCATTAACTGTTACTTTGCAAACAAGAAACATTATTTTATTAGGACAAAAATTAAAGTGCAATGGCATTTCAAAAACCTGAAAAATTGAAAGTTCAATATTAAAAAGAAAAATAACAGAATAAAACCCAAAGATTTATATATATTTTAATTTTTTAAATCATTACTTACGTTGAAGATGTTTTAATACCCAGAATGGCAACCAGTGATGCCCAAATCCAATTAGGCAGTTTAGGTGGCATGTCAATATGTGACCGTATAAACTCATCATCAGCAATAGCTGATGGAATGTTCTCTGATAACAAACGATCAGGGTTTTGTATCTGAAGCCTAAAGAGTTGTAATGAAAATGGCAATCAATAATTTTTAGTATCGGGTGAAATAACTTATTAAAATACTAAATGTATAGGATTACTTTATAACTATTAGCTCATTTTTTAAAACAAAAGCAATTTTAGAAATAGAAATTATTTCAAAGCATTGAATTTTGTTTCTACCTTTACTACTTTTATTTAATTTTTTTTAACATTTTTCAAGTTTAAAAATAATGAGCTTTTGAAAGTCTTAGGCCAATACTTATCAACTGAATGAACATAAAACTTTAACAAATGTCAATTTTTTTTCATTAAAGACAAATTTAGGAAAAGTGTTTAAAGCAAAAAACTGAAAAATAGGAAAGCATGAAAATTATCTAATAAACTGTGCAGCATAAGCAATTTTACATAAATTATAAAGCATGCAAGTAAGTTAAGATATATTTGAATTTATAAAAATTAGGTTAATATTTATACATTAAGAGAGGAGCAGGCTAATTTAAGGACAAGTTTATGCTAAGGCAGGTAATTTGTTTTATAACAAACAATTAGAATTTTAGTTAATATGAATATAATATGATTATGATCAAAAATATATTTTTTGTGTAAAATTTCATTTGAAAACTAAAGCATTTTCAAAGCAGAATTTCACTGAATTTAGGAACAATAGATTGGAATAAGGGTAATTATTAAATTACATGCATTCTGGCTGAAGAATAAAACTATTTCTCTGCATCTGATTTCTATTCAAAGTTGACAGATGAAATGTACTGGCAATAAATTAATAAAAAAATCAATTTCCTAAATCATAAAAATTAATAGCAAACACTTTTTTTAACAGAGATGAAGATGGTAAGAAATTGATGTGTAAAGGTTTAATTATTTCTTTTCAATGTGGAGGATACATATTTTTATTTAAGCAGAAATGTTCCTAAACATACAAAAATGTTAAATAATAAATAAAGCATTCCTTACATCTTTAAAGTATATTGATACAATTTTATAAATGTTTTCATGGTCATATAAATTTAAACATAAAGTGCTTCATTAATATTATCAATTTTTTTAAAGACTGAAACCTTATTTGATAACCTAATAGACACTCACGCTCATCACATAACTAAAAATCTGTTAATTACTTTTATTAATAATTTGTTTTTAAAATGTAGTGGAACATTGTCCCATTGGGTTCTTACACGCAAAAAAACACGGCATACATCCAATAATATTTTGTTAAAGTATTATTACAGTATTATTTTATTTTTTATGACATCACTTAAGGGGGCAATCTCTATCTCTATTTATTTGTTAGTCTCTTCATTATTACCTTCCATATTTCTATGTACTTGCAAGCTAAAATGAAGGGGAAAAAAAGTTGAAACTTGGTGACATTCTTACTTGTTTGTTGAGACATTTGTTGTTTGTGATAAAGAGAAATGTTATGACTGCAATAATACAATCAATGTCAAAGGCCAGGTTGAGATTATGCTGTTAGTAATAAGTTCAAGGACATGTCCCCTCAACCTGCCAGAAAAATATTCTAACAGATAGGATACTCAGTCTGTAGGGCAAAATTAGAAATGTGTCTTCATGTTTGAGAAGCAAGACACTTGTATGAGAACTAACCGGATCCAGCTTGATGAAATTATTCTAAATGCTAAAATAGGCAGAAGTTGAATCAAAAGAAAAACATGAGAAACATCAATGAATATATGACATTGTTCTACTTGTATGAGATAGCATAGCAGCAAAGATTATACAGATTAGAATACAAAAATGGCTCTTTGTGAGCAAGATGCCTTTAAAATAGAACAGAAATTCCTAAAAAAAGAATGTTATTCCTACATAATTTTGCAAAATACACCTGTATTTCAAAACAATAATAGCTTTTAAAAATATTTTCATATATTTTGTCTTTTTCAATAAATTAAAAAAACAGATGCAATTTTTTACAAATTATTTGTTTAGCATTAACACTTAACTATATATATGCCAGTTTTAAAAATTGGAATATTATACATCTGACAGTAGAGCAGTACTTTAATTGAATTTTTAGCAACTACATAGTGCAGAAATAAACATTGAAAAGCCAGAAATTTTGTGAACAAAATAAAAAACCACACCAACAAATGCACATCCAATGCTTTACAAACAAACAAAAATTCTAAAGTCATGCCAAATGATATTTTGTGCAGAAATATCCATGATGCATACAGAGTACTATCTCCCTACCTTGCTCTTAAAACCATTTCATAGATATCTCTGGAGCTTCAAACAGTGAAAGATTAAATAAAAGATGACTACATTATGCTTAAACATGATAATTAAATATTAAACTAATTGTTAAGAAAATGTGTAACTTATTAACAAAATTTAATAAGTTAGTACCAAAACAAAGAAGGACTATAGGTAAGTTAATCAGAGTATTTAAATTGAAAATAAAAGAACACATATACTAGTTAAACTGTTATTTGTGTGTATAACAGTCAAACTGTTAGGGACAGGAAAATTGTTAACTTAAAAAAAACACAATTAATTACAATAAGTTATCCAAAGAAGACAGAAATGTATAGGCTATTGATTAGTTCAACCCAGATATTTATTCAGTATGAGACACTAATAATGTTATATTAAATCTTAAGTTAGTTTTAAAGACATTTTAGTTACACAAAAACGCAAGTATGACAGGTGGAGGTACAAAATAAATATTTAAGAAATTAACTGTTTATTAATTCATTAATTTACCATTCATTAGCCGGAGGTGAGTGTGACCTCATCTCACTGACCCCACACCATGGGTTCCACCCAGCAACACGTCCAAGTCTCCGCAGTCTGCTGGGGTCCTCACTTCTAACTGATGACACATTTGGGCAGTGACTGATTTCTGGACTACCTTCAAACTCCCGGTATTTAAAATGGCCTCTTTCTCTTACCCCAGCCATCCTGAGTTTTCTTTAGATCTAATTCAAAACATTTTTAAAAAAAAACACAATCACATAGACAAAGAAGAGAATATTTATTATTAAAATTCAACAAATTTTAAAAATTACAAACTGCTTTACAGACTTTTTATTTTAAAATATTATACCTTAAATGCTACTCAAACTTTAAAGAGAAAAAAGGATGTGGTTTACAATAGTTTCCAGTTAAGATTAGGCCTATATACTTTTAACTGCAACTTTTTATCAATGTTGAATTTAACCCAGCAGTAATCAGTGATTGAATGGAGTAAACATAGGGGTCAATTGACCACCAAGATAAGATGCAATTACAATTTGTTATCAATAGTAACTAATTATTTGCTTAAGAGCAGTGATATGAAATTCTGGCGCATACTAGATTTAGAGTTCTACCTTGCCTATCATAAACACAGTATTGGTTGTTGTGTGATTTTGTGCTGATAAACTAGGAGGGATATCATGGGTTACCTAGTTTAGTTTTATTATATATATATATATATATATATATATATATATATATATATATATATATATATATATATATATATATATATTCCTACCTTTATATATTTGTTTACCTATTTAATTTTATCGCTTGATTGTATACATTTATAAAGCAAAGAATCTGTTTTAGGGCTGTTAAACTATTGGTAGTTAGCTAAATACCAATGTGACTTGCTAATATCTCTAACCTTATCCCTAATGGCTAATGGACATCAAAGAGTTGGCAAAAATTCTTCTATCATTATTGTAGACACAGAAAATCTTTTTGTTTTTTAAGTTTTGCATACTACATACAAATTAATAATAAAAATGCAAGCTTCAAAAATTTCAAAAATGTAATATTTATTATTTAAGAATCAATGGTATAAAAAATTAAAATGTGAAAATGCAGACAATTTGAAAACAATTTTTTGCGTTTAAGTCTTCATTTTTATTACTTCTAAAATGTCACCTGCAGTTTCACTTTTGTAAGACAAGCATTGATTGGCTTGATACTAACTCAGTCATAAATCTTCTGAAAACCCTACTTTGTAGAGTCTAGTAATTTGTACTCAAAAATTTGCCATTTAAAAAAAATTATACTTTTTAAACCACAATGGCCTAGTTATGTCAAGCTTACTAATTACATTTTACAAGATTTTAAAAATATTTAATAGTTAATAGGCCTTTCAAAAAGTTTCAAGACTGATCTCTTTTGTTGGTGTCCCATTTCTGTCCAAAACACTAAAACTGAGGTTACAATATTTTTGTTATTAGGCAATATTAGGAGAATGTTTATATTATTGGTTGAGGCCACCAGCCTGCCAGTGGGGGGGGGGGGGGGGGGGGACGACGTTCTGACCGGGATTCAAAGGGACAACTCGAAATATCATCCAAGTTTTTTTTTGGTAAACTTATAGTGGGAGATTCAGGGGAAGCCACTCTATTACTAGTATTTTTCAAATGGCTTCTGCTTAGATAGCAAATCTGGCTCGCAAACACTGCTGTTTAAAGTTAATTTCTGGCCTATAAATATTATATATTGATATAATATTTAATAATATTTAGTTAGCCGTTGATTTTGGTTTATTATTCAGTTATCTTCTTATCTATTACTATTATTATATTTGACACAAACATATCACAATAATATACTTCAATCAGAATCAGTATAGAATAGTATAGATTATAGTATTTATAGAATAGATCTACGTCTATTGTCTATTACTATTAAATAATTTAATATTTAAAGCCTTAACAAGTTAACAATGACTTCAATGAGGTAACTTTTTCGCACATTACTAGCCGCGGCTGATTTTATACGTACTTTAAGATTTAAGAGATAGATTACCTACAAAACAGTACTCTTGAGTAGACACTACTCTTACTAAGTTCTTGTTGTTACTTCTATTATCTATCTTTATCACTATAATTACTGGCATAAGACTAGATTCTAGATCTAGACTAGATCCTCTTTAGGCTACTCTTCAGTTGAACAGTCACCGAAAAACACGCTGTGCGTCAATATTTCCGCCTCTACTTCTAGGCTTACGGTTTTATGGCTGAGTGACACACCCACAATATATATTATTATTTTCAAAACTTTGTACTTCTTTTTTCAGTAAATAATGTCTAAGCCTAGCGGTCGCCAAGCACAAGCAAAGGGTTTTGAAGAGATTTTTATTAAAATTAAAAAAAATAATCCTGTCACAGATTATCAGCCTGATATAAAAATGAAAATTTTTTTTTTTTAAAATTCATAGATCTTGATATAAATCTGCATAAATATTTTATCCTTTCCTTTCAGTTCAGGTACCTCGAAATGAACTCTAGTGTAGTAAAGTCACTAAAGTGTGTAGATCTTCTGATCTAGCTAAAAGTACTAGGACCAGTGTTTCTTTTTTTGCGGAAGGGGGCGGACTAAATTTTCCGGGGTAGAAGTCTATATAAATTCCATTTCGTAGCCCCCTCCCCTCCCCTAAGAGATCAGTTTCTTCCAGGAATATATTTGGGTGCCACAAAAAATATCTTCTCCCCCCCCCCCCCCCCCATTAAATCTGTGGGTATGGTGAATCACAATTTTTTTTTTCTGTAAAAGTTCCCTTACAAACCTGGCGGTCTATAGGGCAAGTGAAGTAGAGTTCACGTGCTACTGTTATCTCGGCATATGAAGAGATAGTGTGGTCAGCAGGAGCGTAGCGAGGGGGGGGGGCGGGGGTTGCGGACCGCACCGGGTGACACCATTTAGGGGGGTGACACCAAGGCAAAAAATAGCAAAATATATAGAGAAAAACTTGAGGGGGGGTGCAAATAAAAAACTTGAGGGGGGGGGGGGGGTACAAATCAAAAGTTTGAGGGGGGGGGGTGCAAATTGAACTTGACAGTTTGTCCCCGGGAAGGGTCGCTACGCCTCTGGGGGGGGGGGACGGGACACCATTAAGTGCCGCACCGGGTGACACCCTACCTCGCTACGCCACTGGTGGTCAGCAATATGCCCAGCCGCCTTTACTTTCCCTAACGTTAGTTAGGTACCCATCATAGTTGAGTGGACTCAGGGACAGTCTATTGACTTCAACCCGGGTTCAAACTCGAGACTTACGAGTTAGCAGTCCAGCTCTCTACTACTAGACCACTCCGTGCATAAGCCAAAAGTTGTTGCCTATTAAGATTTAACCTTCATAGTTGTATGTTCTTTATAGTTTTGTAATGTTATATGTGCATACAAATAATGCAAACATTTAATTATTTGAAATACTTTTATTAGCTTTAATTGCATAGTACGTTTTTAGCATGCAGTTTTATAATACATTATTGCATAGCACATTATTAAATATTGGCATGTAAGATTTTTACAAAAATATATAGCTGTTAACAGAAAGCAACCGGGAAGAACTTGTATCGATTCTCTTTGGTTTGATTAATAAAACACTAACTATAGTGCTCAGTTATCATACAAATTATATTGTTGAACAGTCACAGAATATAAATGTTTCTTTCATTAAATAATTGTGCAATAAATTACTGAAGTGTATCTTACACATTATAAAATTATTGTAAGTGAAACATTTGTATCATTTTTAAGAACTGAAATAGATCAAGCAAGCTCAGCTATAACCAGTAGTAGAGTAAAAAGTACAAAATAATTACATTTACAATAATTGTAATGTAATCAAAGAGTGGGTTTAAGTTATTGTAAATAGAATATAGAGATTTTAAATTAAAAAATGTCATCTGGGTAATTCAACAGTTTCAGTGTAATAAGTAGTACAGGTAAATGAATAATTAAAAAATGTTATGTTTGTACAAAAACAGAAAAATGAATATGATCAACAATCGATATTTATAAAAAGAAGTATAATTTGTTTAACTGCTGTGTCTGTTTTCAGTTTCTGTGTTTTATGTAAAGGCTTGCCACTTTCAAGTCAATTTTATCATAAATGTACATTTCAATAAATAAAGTAAAAAATTGAAAAAAAATTTCTAATGATTAACCTGAAAAGAAATAAATATTCAATAATTGTGACCCCTGTCAAAAAACATACAAACTTAGAAGTCGCTGACTGAAATGCATCCTCAGTTTTTTTAGCTCCATCTTTTTTTATACACCAAAGAAAAGAATGGAGCTGTTATTGCTACAAAAATGTTTATTTTAAATGACTAAAACAAAACACATGCAAGTTAAATGTAAAAATAAATACCAATACATACATATATTACACACTAATCTAAGTACATAAGTCACAGCACCAATTGTAATAGCGACTAGCTTAAGTAATATTATTTCAAAGAATACACATAAATAATTCAGCTACAAGCAAGGCCACATCATCTATTTTAAGACGCTTCAGTTTTCTACATCAACTTGGTCATATTTGTATCCCAGCATTGTCTCCCAGCTGTACTGACTCATGTCCACAATCTGACGCAGCCAATTAGAACTCACCGCTTGCAACATGGTGTAACGTCTTTTTGGGTTGGTCTTGAGGAGTCCCAGCATCAAAGTCATCAAATCTATGGGGAAAACAGTTGATTAAAAAACTACATTTATCATTAGGAGAAATATTTTCTAAGTTTGTGATTGGACTTTTAAAAATCTCCAGTATCAAAGTCATCGAATCTGAGGTGAACAGAGTTGATTAAAAAACTACATTTATCTTTGTGAGGGAAATTTTGTAAGTTTGTCATTAGACTTTTAAAAATGTATTGAGATATCACTTGAACATTGTACTGCTGAAGATTAAATAGGCGTTAAACAGAAGATTAAACAGGGGATACATTTAACAGAACAATAATGAGGTCTATTATCAAACATCCAAATTTAGGATAGTGAAATAAACTAATCTCAAATCATTGCACATAGTCCTTATTTGTATAGCTTCTCAAATAAGTACAAAAAACATTTATCAGAACATTCCACGTGTTGTACGTCTATGATTTAAATACAATAAGGGAAACTAAAGTGATTAAGTTCTGCATAGAAAAGAAATGTTTTGTTAGTTATTTTTCCTCACCTTGGGAAACATCAAAAGGGAGATCATCAGGACAGAGTTGGCATGGCTCTGTGTCTACAGTAAATGGATTTTCCCTGAACACAATGGTATAAAGTGTAACACCCAAAGCCCACATGTCAACCTCAGGACCATAGTACCTGCAAGAAAAAATTATTTATTTAGAAAAACAAGGGTCAAAAAAAAGAAACCTAACAAACAGATAAATTGGATTACCTCGCACTAGCATAAAACTATCGGACAAGTGAGCTTACAACTGCACTGAAAGGTTGATTGTTAGCTTAATAAAATGATGTGCTTGGGTCTAAAAACACTGCTGTCAATTTTTAAAAAATCCTAAAAGAGATGGCATAAGCTTAAATAAATTGGATTGATTTATTGATGGCTTAAGACAACAGAACTTTACCTGGGTCTAAAAACACTTGTAAAAAAACAACTAAAAATCCAAACCGAGATTGTTTTCAGATAAATAACTTGGATTCATGGGTTAATAACAAATAAGTACCTACATTGCTAATATAGATGAAATTATAGCCAAGTATTAACCAAGGCTCACAATCCCTTTATATGAAATGACCACAAATATACTTTACCTTTTTAATATAAAATTATAGTTGTGTAACATAACTTACCCCTCTCCATTGTAAACCTCTGGGCTACAATATTCCATTGTTCCTCGAAACTTAGTGAACTTTTTACCGTTGGGTAGCATGAAGATTGCTGAACCAAAGTCTATGAGCTTGCATTGAAACTCGGAATTTACCACAACATTTTCATCCTTGATATCTCGATGGATGATGTCTTTAGAATGAAGATACTCAACAGCCCATATGATCTAGAGCAAAGAAAAAAAATAATCATATCACTACTTTAACTATGAGCTATAATTTATGTCATGATATAAAAAGACTAAAAACAAAACATATCTTGGCAATACAAATGACTTATACTTTAATTTCATTTGAACCTAGTTCATCTTTTAAATCATTAGGGTGACACAATTAAATTTTAAAGACTAGCTTGAACAAACCAAATATAAAAAACCTTTAGGCCTAATTTATAAATAATTAGGATGAAAATGAAATATTCTTAGTTGTCATCATAAACTGCTGGATCATTTAAACAATGTTGGTCCATCAGAAGTGGATCAAAACTGCGATAAAGGATTTGACCACAACAAAAGCTATATAACTGTAAACAAAGAAGAACACACGGATAAAGCTTACTTGTCTAAATAAATAGCTGGCCAATGGTTCATCAATACTGATTTGATCAATTAAATCAAATAAATCTATTTCACCAAAGTCTTCCATCACCATTTGAACAAAGTGTGTATTTTCATAGACAGCAATCACCTGCAAGATATTTAGCTCAATGCAAATAAACTAACATAACTAACAGCAACACGTTTTTTTCATTAATTATAAACTACACATAGAAAAACAATTTTCTTATTATAAAATATTTTAATAACAATAATACATAGACGTAGCAAAAAGTAATATATAAAATCATTTTACTTTGATAATGTATTCATAGTCTGTCTGTTTTAAAATTGCAACTTCTAAGTTAACATTTTTCTGGGCAATTTTATCGTAAGTCCAGGAGTCATCAAACATTTTGCTCTTTTTGATAAACTTCACAACATACTGAAAGTAATAAAAAACAAAAGATTTTTTATTTATCTACATGGTGTACACAGCCTTAGATTATTTTATTCATTATTTTAGCCTATAAAAAATTATCAGAGTTTAAAATTCGGCAAAAGATAAATTTTTTGCACCAAAACAAAAGTTGCTTACGGATTTATTGGATTTGATGGACTTTGCTCTCCGAACAAAACCAAAGCTTCCCTGACCTAGCGCCTCACACACAGTGAACTTCTGTGAAAACTTCCCAGCCATGGCTGCTTCCAGATCCAACATATCCTCACTAGGGTTAGCATTGTGGGATTGATTTAGCCCAGCCTGCTCTGCTATAAGCTGGTGGAAACAAAGTCATCCTTAAATAATTTTTAAAATGGCATAATTTGCCAAAATTTCCATCAATTGTCCCACTCCAAAGTTTTCAACAATCTTCATGAAACCCAAAAGTAAAAAGTTCTCGAAGTTTTGAGGAACAATGGAATACTGTTGTCCAGAGGTTTACAATGGAGAGGGGTAAGTTATATTACACAGCTATAATTTTACAGTAAATAGGTTAAAGCGCATTTGTGGCCATTTCATATATACGGGTTGTGTCCATTGATAATACTTATAATATCATCCAATATGACTCATTATGCTAAAGAATTTAACAGCCTTTGTAATCTATGGTATTTATTTGTGTTCAATAACATTTTTTGGCAAATGGTAACATGACCTCATCATGGAGAACAGAGCTTTCCAGACATTTCACTCACAAAACTAGTGTGTTAGTTTATGAGAGTATAGTTAAAATTTGTGTATATGAAACATTTGGAATAAAGTGTAATAAGAAAATACAAAACTATGGCTTGCCCATTGTTAATGTGTTAGCTTACAGAAGAGTCTAGCTAAAATTAAAACTTGGGTATATGTTAAACAAATATAGAATAAAGTGTGATAAAAAAAAGTTCCCTTTTCAAACCTGACAGTCTATAGGGCAAGCGGAGGTCACTTGTTTCTGTGACCTCAGCATATGAAGAGTGTGATAAGTGTGATAAGTAAATAATAAACTGTTGCTTGGCCATTGTTAATCTAAATGACATGTAAGATGTAGATACCTGTCCTAAGCTTGGATCAACTGTTTTATCAATGGACTGATCAAAGCGGAGGTGCTTTAGACGATGACGTAGCTCCTCTTCATCACATGATGCTTCAGCTACATCATCCTCTTGAGAATCATCAAGGTCTTCCTTCTCATCATCTGAAGGCAAATCTTCTTCCTCAACTGGGCCATCAACGTAGAACCACAAGCAGAAAAGGGAAGTTTTAGCTGAGGTACGAATGCTGCCCAATTTCACAGTTACAGCTGAAAATGAGAAAAATCATAGCGTCATTTTGTCTGCAAAATTTATTCCAAGACATGTGGAATATTGACAAGTTAGGTAGAAAATAAGTGAATTACTGATTTTGAAACATAAAACTTACAAATTTTACTTCCGTTTGCGTGCAAAAGATTTGCTATGTAAATTCCATTTTTTATTCTAACCTTTTCTGGTTGGGAAACTGAATGCTCAGGTTCGGCTGTTTTAAGTTGTCTAGAGTGAAAGCAAAAGGAAAAAAAAGAAGAAATTTAGACTTCATTTCGTACCAGTGCAATAAATAATTAGACCATGTGTGTGTTGTGAACACACAGACATGCCTTTCAGGTGTTTCAGTGCGTAGAACAACATATAATACGAACAAACACAATCTACACAACACTGGCTATTCTAAATATAAATACATACACAAACTAAGATACAGTGTGTATCTAACAGTACAGAATTAATCTACACTAACCTTGAGGAAGAACTGGACTAAACTGAGGCAATCACACACATTCTCACACACCTTATATACCTATAGACAAAACATGTACAAACCAGACTTGCACAACTCACCACACAAGGATTGAACAGGGATGAATGTGAAAGAGTACAAAGTATAAACAACATTCACCCCTAATTACTACTTTGCGGAATTATTAATTAAAAAAAAACAACACAATTAAACCTGCTTACACAGAAGAAGAGCTGTGTTTGCAGGGTGTGGAAGTCTGGTGAGGCTCCAGGTGTAGGGCAGGGACTGGAAGTGTCAGGCATTTTGTTTCCTGATCCACATCATCAACCACAACACTGGTCTCACAGATGGAGGTGTTGTCCAAATCTCTGCTAACCCAGTACTTCTTCCAAGATGATGTATCAAAGAAACAAGAGGCAGGAAGAATGAGGTCTTCTGAAAGTGAAAAAATAAAAATAAAATTGAAGTATTTTTAATAACATATAAGTAGAAATTTTGACATGGTAAACATTATGACATATTTTCATACCAGTTTCATCATCTGTGATCTCTACATCTGTATTCTTCATTTCGTGTATGGGCCAGGATATATCTGAACTAGCAGACGGTTCGTCAGGTTTAAATTCACTCATTCTGATAACTTCAATTAAAAACTCTGAAATATGCTGTTTGAAAAAATGACTTTTATTAAAAAGATAAATATCCATCTCAAGGCCAATGCTAACCCCTAAGCATATGAAGACAAGCATGGTTAACAATATGCTGTTAATATGCTTGTATTTAAAACAAAACAAAACAACGAAGTTTTACTAAATAGACCTTCAAATGATACAATTTAACTACTCTCAAGTTTTAATTAGCAACTGAAATGGGGATAATTAAATGAACTACGAAAATATAACAGCTCACCCTTTTAGTGATATCAACATATCCAAGGTAGATCCTGAAATAGTTTTGGTCAGAAAACTCTATGAGCCCATCAGCCTGAACACAGACCAGCCCAGAATTGTTTACAGAAAGTGAAAGGGCAGCAGGGTATATTGTGTCTGAGGCTTCCTCTCCTTCCACCACAACTTCATCTACAAGTAAAATTTGTTTCATTTACAATTAGTTAAGTTGATTAGTAGTTATTTTAAAAAAATAGTCAATCTAAACAATTAAAAAAAAAATTATGTTCATGAAAATCAAACATGCCCCCCCCCCCCCCCCCCCCCCCCATATTTAACTATATATTCTAACCATTCCATACCTTTACTATCCGCTAGGACAACAGTGACAGGAATCCTGCAGCAGTTTAATGCTTCAAGTGTTGTGCGCTGTGGAGTATTGATCTGCAGAGAGAAAGTGTTTGAAGAGCAAAATAGATGAGGGTATTATTTATGTTAGGATTAAATGAAATAATACAGTGATTTTTAAAATCTAGAAGAAAAATGTGTTTTTAATTAATGTTTGAGATACTGAGTTCATTGAAGAAATTACAAATAGTCAAAAATCATATATATAAAAAAGTAAAAACATAACAAATACAAACATATGTGAAACTCTTGAAAAGAATTTAAGCCTTTCTGGTTCATTTGAGATAACCTATTGGCATGATGTATATTACAGATTTCAAACCATTTTCAAAGTAACAGTACCTTAGAGAAATCAACATCTGTTATTTGACATATAGGATCTTCAGTGTTTTGGTTGAAGATATCTGATACACCAATAAAATCTTCAAAGGATGGAGAGTATAATAAAACATGACCCATGTCATTGAGGTACACATCAGCTGATAGAGTTTCTATGTTGCCCATGACACACAGAGTCAATTTTGGCTGTGGGGCGTATGGTACTGTCCAAATAGAAACTGGAACTTCTTCACCTTTTCCATTAATACACGACACCTAAACAAAATGTTTGTTAAATAAATAAAATGTAAGAAAGATTTGAATAATTTTGCCTAAATAGCATCTTAAATATGAAAATATTTTAAAAAGCAAAGCTTGAAAACTGTTACATTGAAACCTTGATAAAATTTTTATGCATATATCTGTAAATGAATAAAGCCAAAACAGTAGGGCCTACAGTGCTATTTGATTAACAAAATGCAACTTTACTTCCAAAGAAAGTTATCTAAAAATAATCAAGAAATCTGTAGTAACATTTTTTTCATTAAATTGAATAATAAAATTCTGCAAAAAGCTTAGTGTGCACAGCTTGTTTTACTTACTAGCTTGCCACAGACTAAAGCTGATCTCCCATCAGCAAACACAAATGGCTGAGGTAATAAAACTCCCAGGTTATCAAGTGGATCCTTGATCTTGATGAATCTGAAAAGTCTTTGGCCGACGATTTTTTCATGAAAACCGATAAAGTACTGGAAGGATTCATTTAGGGTGACAATCTGTAAAAAGAAAATGTTTGTTATATCTTGTAAAACATCTATACAATAATTCAAACAGTTGATAGGTAAAATGATCAACAGGTATTAAAAATGAAACAAGATTTCTGGAATATACAATTGAAAATATAGAAATTTTTACATTTTCAAATTAAATTTTAATGACTAATCCACTATCTAATTAGATTAAAAATTAGATTGCAAATTCGGTTTTTTGCATTGTCATCCAAATTTCAGCTCAATCGGACAATGGGGAGTGGGTTAAATTAATATTCCAAGATTAGCTGAGCCAGTCACACACACACACACACAAACACACTGAGCAAGCTAAATAAATGCCTTTAAAAAGTATTCAGTCCAACCTTTCCTCCATGATGAGGATCAACAACACAGATGAGGCTGGTCACACAGTTGAACAGCACCTCTTGAAGTGTCGGCACTTGCCCAATTTCAGCTAACACATCCAGCTGTGCCCAAAGCATATCTAGGTAACCATCTGCTGAAGGATCACACAGAGACTTGTTCCTGGTGAAAGAACTGTCCTCATCACTGACATCACGACCTTTGTCATAGCTTTTATCTTGATTCTTCTGTGCAAGTTGGGTGTCAGGGGGTGATAGTCCATATATGGATCGACGATTACGAGGTGTTAACTCAGGCTTAGGTGTTGATATTTGGTGCAAATCTAAAAAAAAAAATACAAATAAAAACATAATAAAACATCAAATTATATATAAGGTGTTTATTTTGCTTAAAGTTAAATAGACTAGTTAGCAATAATTTGATCTATTTTGTGCTACTACCACACATATTGAGAACAGGTTTCCTAAAAGCATTGGAGGATATTCCCCACATTGCTACACTAAACTTCAACATTAACAGGCACAGCTGGTACATATTGTTGTAATATTGGTCTACTGGTGTTGAAATCAAAGAGAGCATTTTTTTTACTTGGCAAATACAATTTAATTTCTCCCATAAAAAATGATGATGCTGTTTTAAGAATGTTAATTTATCTTTTGGAATACATATTGAAATAGTTGTAGACACTTGTTAAGGAATAGAATTATGGAGCCTGGGTTACTTTCATTTTTACTGCAGTGAATGCAGCTGGGATTTTAATAAGAGGGTAATTACATGCTTTGGGTGTAATGAGTAGAGTTGTGTGCACTAGTTGATGGGGAAAAGGTTTATACAGCAGAAACAAATCTTGCTTTTAACATTAACAATATTTTGTGGTAAATCAAAATGGAAAACTATATAAAAAATCATCTTACTTGTAACAACATCTTGCCCAGCAGGGGTGGACAACCTGACTGAGTTTTTATCTGGTACAGTTGGGAGAGTTTTTGCCATCTTAGGAAAAGACTGATTAGCCTCAAAAGATTCACTGAATGGAGTATGAGAAATTCTCTGCTCGCTTTGTTCAGAGCCATACACTGGCAAGGTCTGGTGAAGCACTGAGTTGGATTTTGTACTTTTTCCAACTTGAGTTGAAGGTCTTGTTTTATCTTTCAGTGACCCTTTTATATAGCCTTCTGTCTTGGCCCTGCTGATTAATAATTTTTTACCACTTGATGGAGTAGAAATGTTTGTAGTTTTTTGAGAAAGAAGAGGATCGCATGTCAAGTCATCTTTTTTTGGTAGCACATGGAGATTTGGGGAGTCTGAAGATGTTAATATATCTCCTTCTAGCCATGAAATCTTCTTTGATTCTGATATTGAAATGTTCTTTGTGTTTTTAGCTTCTGTTGAGATATGATAATAATCTTCAGCTGGCGCGCCCCACTGCACAGATTTAGTGATAGTTGGCAGAGAATTTATTTTCTCCATCCTTTTATCAACAGTCAGTGGTTTGGTTAACTTTAGATTCTCTCTGCCTTGTTGAACATTTAACCCCTGAACTTTTACGCTATCAGTAGCCTTTCCTAAAGAGATGACCGGAGAAACACAAGCAACTGAGTTCCCACTATGGGCTTTAGATAAATCAGCTTTCTTAGCACCCAGAGAAATTTTTTTCACATCAGAATTTTTAGCTTGTGTTTGTAGCTTAGGTGAATGGTTACTGATAGTTGTGTTGTTGTTTCGGTTTGAGGGGTTGACACTTGGACTCAAAACAGGTGATCTGGATTTCTTTGGGCTCACTTTCACAGTAGAAGTTGTATTCTCTTTGTTGTCAGCATTTCTAACCTTAGAATTCCTGTTCTGTGGACTAGCTATTGGTGGGGATTTGTTAGTAATAGCTTTTGGAGACAGCTCAACATTTGACACGCACTTAAGTTTGGAAGTTGCAACATGTATTTCTGCTTTGGTAGCTGATGTTTTTCTGATGCTCTTATTAACTGGCATTTCATAAGACTGGCTGAATGTATTACCGTTTCCTGGATTTCCTACTCTTTTTTCAACAGAAGTTCTTTGATGAAGTTTAGGACTCACTGATAGAGATTTTGAGCCTTTTACTCTATTTACACTCTTGTATGAGGTAGTTTGTTTAATTACTTTCTCTGCATCTTGTTTTCCTGAATCAGCCATTTTCTCATGTTGGGATTCTTCAGCTTCTAACAAATAAGATCCTACCTGCTTACACGTATTACCAGTGCATCCCTTTTCTACCTGCCCATTGTGAATTGCATCAACATCACAGTTTTGTATCACTTGTAAAGCTGTAGCTGAAGTGTTTACAAGTATCTCATCATCTGAAGAGATAACATCGTTGATGTTTTCTACTTCTGTAAGCCTATCATTACCTTTATTTGCATCTGAATTCCAAGAAGTGTCCAAATCTTCACCACCGGAGTCCGACTGTTCTTCACTAGAATAAAGAGACCCTTCGTCTTCTGTCTCTAAAGACATTAGCTCTTTAATAATATCCTTAATTTGACATTGCTTCCGCATTGAATCCTTGGAGCAATCAAGGCTGTCTGCTTCGTACAACCCAGCTGTACTTTTATTTAAAGTACAGATAGCTTCATCTCCTGAAAGATGCTTAACATCATCCAAACCATCAATGTCTTCATTTTCGGCATGGTCTAGCCTATCACTAAAACAACTATCTGTTTTTATTTCTTCCACTGCAGGCACACTGTTTCTAATATCATTAAGTCCCATCTTAGACATTCCTCCTTCGAGACCATTTATGCTTAAAGCCACCTCAGTTTGAATATCCTGATGGCTATTTGGTTTCAATATGAGACTGGTATTGTCCTCCAGTTTGATATCTTCTTTCTTATCTGAATTCACATCTACATTGTTATGCATAATGACCTTATCGACTTGTGTTACAGACGAAGGATACTTTGTTTGTTGATGGATATAATCCCTGTTTACACATGGAGTATTTTCAGTCATTGTGGATGGTGTAAAGGCGTGTGGGTTATAACTATTCCTAAAGTCCATTGGTGTTGTAGGTGTATTAATATAACTTGAAAAAGTCTGGTTTTTTCTGTCATTTTGATTCTCAGGTGGGGTCATGTTAGAATTGATGAAAAAATTCTCAGAGAACCTACGACATTTTTCTAGCTCCTGCACAAAGTTGGGTGAAGGCAGAAAGGGCATGAACGGGAAAGGCAAAAACATATTTGGCATCCAGTTACTGTGAGCCATGGCTGATGGAGTACCTGGCTCAAAATTAGGCCACGGAGAAGTGGGGTAGCTTGGTTGCTGAAAGCAGGAAGGACTTCTGAATGGGTTGGGGAATGGTGGTGTTGCAACAGCAGGTTGGTAAAAATTAGTCGGAACATTGGCTGGACCGAGGTGACTGCTATCAGGCCTACCATTCAGGGAAAATGGTGGGAGGTGATGCCTAGCTGAGTGATTGTTACTACCATTGCTGTCAAATGTTCCGCTAACATTATGGTTAGGGGTTTTGCAATACAAATTCTGATGTGGAGAATGCATTTCCTTGGCTTGTAATTCTTCACTATTCAATATTGGTGAAATTGACTGGGAATTTAAAGATGAATGCAGCCCAGAATCTCTTTGTGTGCTACAAAGCAATGGGCTGGATTCATTCTCTTCTGCATTCACTTGACCATTCTTTTCCCGGCACGTGTTGGGATAGAAATTGGCTGTGATATTTGTGGAGTTTAAATTAGAGCCATGTTTGGCTTCTGGTCTTTCCACATCAGGATGCACAAAAGAAGATTGTCTTTGTGATGTATTCAAACTTAAAGAAGCAGCAGCTTCATTGTTTAATTCATATGTATTAACGCCAGCACTGGCATGATTGTTTTCTAGGGTCAGTCTCACTGCACATACTTCCTCTAGGGCTCGAGCAATGCTACTTCTCAAAAGGGCTTGTTTCTTACAGCATACATCACAAGAGCAGGCATGGGTGTTTGTATGGTGATAATGGCGAAGATCTTGAAGCAGTTCAGTGACATAATGCAGTCTTGATCTAGCATCTGAGTAATCCATAGTCTTGATTCTGTAATCAAAAGTTTAATTTGGGTAATTATCTTTTATCTAGTTATTGTTAAACTGAAATAGAAGATGCAAAAGTAAGTAAATTTAGATTATTAAGGCCTAAATTAAATGGTTCATGTTCAAAAACACTAAAAGTCATCTAAGTCTAGTTAGTAGTAAAGTTAATAAGTAGGCATGCTTCTGCTGTTACTAACTAAACTCATTGAGTTAGGCTAGTAAGAGTATTTACTATTTACTACTAGATCTATTTACTATTTACTGTAGCCTGTACACTACTGACTACTGTAGTAAGACTGTACACTGTTAATATTTATAAGTAATGACTTATTAATAAAACAAGTTACAACAGTTAAGAACAGTCTAAACTACTGTTAACTAAAAATAACTACTCGTCCTCTGTTAGGCCCTACAGTTGAGTATTAGGTGTTAGTTACACTGTTACACGTTTAGGCCTTTAGGCTCAGAAGTTAAGTCACCTTAACTTCTTAAGTGACTAGTCAAGTGCCAAGTGGAGGATTAGCAGATTAGAGATCTAGATCTAGATCTAGGTCTAGGCCCTAGCTAGAGTCTAAAATCTCATTCTCTAGTCTCTAGAATTTAAATTATTCTAGAATCTAGATCTACTAGATCTAGATTAGTTAAGAATAGGTAAAAAAAAAAAAGTAAAAGGCGGCTCGGCTAACTCAACTCACAACTCGATTGGATTGATTGTTTGATTGAATGATGACTGAGTCTGGAAAGAACTTAGGGTAATCTATCGTTTTGGGTACGTAAAATCGCCCGCGATTTGTAATGTGAAAAACAGGTGACTCCTTAAATTTTAATAATTATTTCACATTTTGAGGAGGATTTATGTTTTAAAAAATTCAAAAATGTTTCTTTGATTCATTTATGTACCTGTTTTTAAACAATTAAATTAAAACATTTCCGTAATAAATGAAGACTAGCGATGTTTCCAACAGATGCAATCATGCTCATTTACTATAGCAGCCATCTTGTCTAAGTTTTATTTTTATAAGCTTTTAGCGCCAGATTCAGGGGGAAGTCACTCTATTTTACAAATGGCTGCTGTTTATATAGCAAATCTTGCTCTCAGACACTGCTGTTTAAAGTTAATTTCTGGCCTATATCGATATTGATTTAGGTTTATTATTCATTTATCTATAATATTTGACACAAAAGTATGACAATATACTTCTATTAAAGCCTTGACAATGAGGCAACGTTTTCGTACATAAATAGCCGCGGGCGATTTTACGTACCCAAAACGATAGATTACCGAACTTAGAAATCACCCGGCTGGTTAAAGCAAAGAAAGGCCAGGCTTTAACTAAATCTAGCTACGATACTGCTACTAGCAATAGAATCTAAACATTAATAATGTCTTACCCCGATAATTTGAAAGATGATGAATGAATAAACTAGTTATGCTACCACTGATTCATTACCTTACACTACGCTCGGTTATTCAATGATTCATTCATTCCACAATTTAAATTTGGCGGCCATATTTATCAAACAATCGTAATTCTTTTATGAAGAGTTCGGTTGCTTGAAAGTATAAAATTATTATTACGAGCCGGCCCGCGGCATAACATACGCCGCTATTTAGTTGTTTCTAATTTTCAATAATTCATAATTTGTGAATTCGACAGTACCCAACGCTGACACTGAAAATATTTCTTTAAAACACTATAAGTAGCTCTTTAAGGACCATAACCACCCCGCCCCCCCCTTCCTTCCCTCCCCCCCTCCTCCCCCCCCCCTTCCTTCCCTCCCCCCCTCCTCCCCCCCCCCTTCCTTCCCTCCCCCCCTCCGCCCCCCCCCTTCCTTCCCTCCCCCCCTCCTCCCCCCCCCCCCCTCCTCCCCCCCCCCCCCCCCCCCTACGTTTTAAAATCGTTGGCTCTGCTTGTAAACATTTAGAGTGAACACAGCTCACTAAAAACCATGTAGGGGTGGGGAGGTAGGAGAGCGTTTGCAGCTTGTTTTCTAACGACTCGAAGAAGAGAATTAATTATATATATAGACGAGCCGGCCCGCGGCATAACATTACGCCGCTATTTAGTTGTTTCTAATTTTCAATAATTCATAATTTGTGAATTCGACAGTACCAACGCTGACACTGAAAATATTTCTTTAAAACACTATAAGTAGCTCGTTAAGGACCATAACCCCCCCCCCCCCCCCTACGTTAAAATCGTTGGCTCTGCTTGTAAACATTTAGAGTGAACACAGCTCACTAAAACCATGTAGGGGTGGGGAGGTAGGGAGAGCGTTTGCAGCTTGTTTTCTAACGACTCGAAGAAGAGAATTATATATATAGATGAGAGGATCCCGACTAGGCTAGCAATATATGTGGGTGTATATGTATATATGAGATAAATATAGATCTATATAGATCTATAGCATTCTAGAGACGAGATCTTCGAATTCTGGGTTTCTTCAAGCCATTGTTCTCGGAATGGGGAGGGGGGGGGGGGGGGCGCTTGAAACTTCATTTTCGCGGTGGGAGGGCGGGACGTGTTGAAACTTCATTTTCGCGGTGGGAGGGCGGGGGACGTGCTCCGGGGGGGGGGGGGGGGGGGGGGTGTAGTGGACGTAAAGATAACTGAACATTATTAAAAACTTATCAAATGACAGAACTGGTATTCGAGTATTCATTTACGGAGTTGAATGCTAAATATTTGCTTTAATTATCGGCGTAAACTCTTTTGGGCTGTCCGATGTCAGTGTAATTATACAATACCTCATCCTCTGACAAAAAAAAAAAAAAAAAACAACAACAAGAAACAAACTAGAAATTAATACTAGACCTACCGCTGTTTAAAAATTCCCAACTCTAAAAAAATGAAGATTTTAACGAAATGTTTAATAAAAGCCTATTTTCATACACGTGATCTTCGGCACTGATGAACTAGAGTAGAATTCGTGTTTCTGCGGACCTTGAGAATAAGTGGTTAACACAGGGCTATGTGCAGTCACTTTAATTTCCCTGTCACTACTTGCAGTGCCTCTTCCTGACTTTATTCTCCGGGGGGGGGGGGGGGACTTGAAAAAAAAAAAACAATTGCTGGGGGGGGGGGGGGGGGGGGGGGGCCGTACACTAGTAAAAGTATTTATTTTCTATATAAATTTATGTTTCGTTCGGGGGGGGGGGGGGGGGGGGGGTGAGGGCGGCAGAATCCAGGTAGCTAAGCACACCCACAAGAGCTAGATGAAGAATTGAGTGAATACGTTTTGTGTGGGTAGCTTTAAACAGGTCTGATGATGTCCTCGGGCGCCGACCTTAGGGGCGCCAAAATTGGTTGGAAAATAAATTGAAAGGTTGAGGGGGGGGGGGGCAAATCGAAAGTTGGGAGTAGGGGGGTGCAAATCGAAATCCTGAGGGGGGGGGGGGGTGCAAATCGAAATCTTGAGGGGGGGGGGGTGTGCAAATCGAAAAGTTTGTCCCCGGGCGCCGGGAAGGGTCGCACGCCTCTGCTGTAGACCAGTTCATGGTATTATTTAGATTTATTCTACAGGCCACACTCTTCATAACAGAATCCACACAGTTAATTTTTATAAGATCTAGATATTTTTTAAATAAACGAGCTCATTTTCTGAATTACCAAACAATTAAACATAATCGTTATAATACCCTAGGCCTACACGAAGAAATCAAACTAGGCCTAAGCGACGCCGGTGTACAATCAGCGGGTTATAATAAC